CACCGAAGAAAATGTCTCTCCCAGTGACCCTTATCTGTCTATATATCCTTCAGGATGTGAGGGCCTTGTGAACTCCTGCTCCCTCCACAAATGGTCTCCATCTTGTGCATCCTTTGTGTGGATAATCACAGCTGCTGAGGGTTCAGGGGAGCGATGGCCATGTGATGCCCAGAGGGAAGTGTTCCTCAAACCCATCATTCTTTCTTCTGGCTCTTATAATCTTTCCACTGTCTCTTCAGTGATGTTCACTGTGGTGGTTTGAATGAGAATGTACCCCATAGGCTATGGTATCTAAACACTTGCTTCCCAGTTGGCGGTGCCACTTGGGGTGTTTTGTGTGGCTGCAGCCTTGTTTGAGAATGCCCATCATTATGGGTAGGCTCTGAGATCATATAGCCTCATTATACTTCCTCGTCTCCTTCTTTGCTATGTGTTTGAGCTTGAAGATGTGGGCTCTCAGCTTCTTGCTCCTGCTGCCATGCCTGACATTTGCTGCCATGCTTCCCGGCCACAATGGACCCTGGTACTTCCAGAACCATAAGTCCAAAACTCTCCATTCTGTAAGTTGCTTTTGGTCATAGTATTTTATCACAGCAACAGAAGTGGAACCAATCCATTCCCTGAGATTTAGAAGGAATAATAAAGATGTGCCATTTCGAGTTAAGCATTCAACAGTCATTATCTCAATCCTTTATAAGTTATGAGTCTCTATAGTAACCAATACTTACTGGCCAAGGCTGACAGCAACAATATGTTAGACAAAATTATAAATGCTTAGGAGTCAGTCCGACAGGTACATCCTATCTATTCAGCCAAACAATAATAGGAGACTTCCTAATAGGGAAGTCTAGGAAACCCCTAATAGGAAACCCCATTATCAATGGGGTTTTGAATAGGCTGACGGTACTTGATATGAATTTCTTCCCTTGGAATAGACCTTACAGCCACTAAAAAAGCAGTTGGTAGTACCCAATTGTGCCTCTATTGTATTAGTGGTTATGTATTGTCTGACAAGCCTGTAAACATGCAGAGATCACATCTGAGTATGATACACCTTTTCCCTACAGCCTGCCCAGCATCTTCCAGCAAGTTAGCTATCAGGAAGCTTCTAGGCCAGTTGCAGCTTGATCTCTCCATGTTCCAGAACCAAAGTGTGTGGTGTCTTCAGTATTAGGATCTTACCATCTAGTTCTGGTGAAAAATCGACAGCAGTGGAAAACAGCCTTATTGTATTTGGAGGGCATCCCTGTCAAATAACTCAGGAGGTGCCCTATCCCCAATACTGGGATTTCCACTAACCTTAGGGCTTCTAGGAATATTTGTTTCCAACCAAACAAGGCACTGCTATTCAAGCTCTGAGCTTGTTTTGATGTTGACAGGCTGTTGGACAACACCCCCCACCCCCCACCCCCCACCCCCCGTTGTATGACCTCTGTGCTTTACCCAGCTCCCAAGGACTTCAGAGTTGTGCATGGCGCTTGAGCCTTGTGTGGACTGATTTCCCATGTGCTTGAATGTGTCTCAGTAGCCCTTCTTTTCTTTCTTTAAAACTGCTTATCTTTAATTATGTGTAGGGGTGGGGGTGGGGTGGGTATGCTCATGTGATGGTAGGTGCCCTCAGAGGCCAGAGGCATTGTAGACCACTGGGGCTGGGGTCACAGGTTTAGACTCCATGACACGGGTGCTGGGAACTGAATTTGGGTCCTCTGCAGGAACATAACCACTGAGCCATCTCTCCAGCTCTTAGATGCCTTTTTAAATTTCTTAAAACATCTAGAAGTTAGCACTGTGAAATGAAGCTTTTTTTTTTTTTTTTTTTTTTTTTTTTTTTTTTTTTGCAAAGGGTGGCAGGACCTTTGAAGGACCATGACCCACCATAATTGCCAATTGATTTCAGAAGTCAGTAGCTTTGGGGATACTGAGGAAAAATGATAGTGTGATTAATTATATCATGACAAATTCCCAATTCTTCTACCAGTTGTTTTCTCAGAAACCCAGGTTGAGTACAGCGGTGTGAGTGGGAGCTACTTCTTAGTTACCTGCCACTACCCACATCATTTGCCATGAGTTGCTCCATTCCCTTATGTTGGTGTGCTGCCGCACTTCCCCACCGGGGACAGGCTCAGTGGGGCTTGGGCTGGCTCTTGTTGCTTGGATTGGCCTAGAGCCTAGCAGAAACAGCCACATCATGCCTGCCATGATTAACTAGCTCCACAGATCTGATTGTCTCTGGGCTAAGCTGTGCCTCGTTGCAGCTTCTCCATCGGCTAGCGCTGGCCACTGAGAGGTCTCTAGGTTGGGCAAACCCTTTCCACTCCCAGCATTCTGCCTCCCCGGAGAGCTTGTGGGGGTGAGCGTTTAGTTACCATCCTGGGGACAAACAGTCTTTATCACTTGTACTACTGATATTTATACAGTAATTAAACTTTTGCTTCAGGCCTTAAAGCCTTCTAGAGACTTAGTACCATTGAATTTTCTACCAGTTTTTTTCTTTCCCGTAGGGACACTGGCTTGATACTAATATTGCCTCAAATTCTCTTTAGAGTTTCCACCCAGGTCCCTTTGTCTGAGTTTTTAAAAAACATCCCTATCCCTCTTGACTGCTTCATTACTTTATAAACTTTATATCAGTCTACACTATTCAGACCTGCCAGGGGTGTGTCTTCCTTTATTATTATAATAAAGGCCATGTGCCACAATGCAGCCATTAGTGCCTGTACTGCCCCAAGGTAACTGTTGAAACAACCTCTCTTAGGTCTCCTGGTCCTGTCTGGTACAATGATCTGGTCATGCAATGCTGCCTTTCTCATGCTTATTTCCATGTCTGTCCTTCCTCTATTGTCCTCTAGCGCATAGTAGTCAGGGGACTAGGTATCTGTGATAGTTCCTGTGGACCACCCGTCAGAAAGTGATTTCCCTCATATTGTCTCAGATTATGTCTTAGTGATGGCTTCTATTGCTGTGAAGAGACACCATGACCATGGTAACTCTTATAAAGGAAAATGTTTAATTGGGGCTGCTTACAGTTCAGGGGTTTGGGCCATTATCACCATGGTGACAAGCATGGTGGTATGCAGGAAGACATGGTGCTAGAGAAGGAGCTGAGAGTCCTACATCTTGATCTGCAGGCAGCAAGAGACTGTGTCCAACATTTGGCCTAGTTTTAGCATATGAGACCTCAAAGCCCACTCCCACAGTGACACATTTCCCTCAACAAGGCCACACCTCCTAATAGTACCACTCCCTATGGGCCAAGCATTCAAACACATGAGTCTATGGGGTCATACCTATTCAGACCACCACAAATCACATAGTTCTTGTAGTAAGCAGGAGTGTGTGGTCATATCAGTTTTTCGGCTACAACACTAGGCTGATCCCATTTAATCTCTTGCCCTGTAGCTTTAAGAGCAAGGCTAATTTCTCATGTAAAAGTCTCTTCCAATCCAAACAGATCAATGGCACAATATTCCATAATTATTATTAAGGCCCCTGTGCACCATGGACATTTTTCCTTCCTCTGTATTAAAGATCATGCGTGAGGGATAGCTTCCATTCCTTCCCCTCCTCAACATATTCTTCCCATAGATTTCAAGATTGGGGATTATAGGGAGGATTACTTAGCATGCGTATCATTTGTGCTTTCTTTGAAGCCCTCCACGCCCCAGCCCTCCACCCCCAGATATATGAAATGGCAAGCTAGCAGTCCAACTCATATCAGTTTGAATGTACTAATAATAAACTCAATTACCAATATCATGTTGGTGTTGCATTAAGTCCAGAAATATAGCACTTCCCTTTGGTGTCATTAACCAACAGTGAGCCCAGATATGAATTCCCTACTTTGCTCCCCTGTGCCTGTCTGTTGTATGAGTCTGAATCTGTGTCTGCCTAAATGCTATCTCGTAAATCTTCCCTATTCTATAACTGTATAGCTGTGTGTTTATGTGGCTATTCCTAAAAAAAGGGTCGAATAGCACGGAGAGTATCACACAGGGAAGGAATAGGGACACTTTATAGAAAATTTTAACAGTGTTTTACAAGTCACTTACATCAACTGACCCAGGTAACAAACGGTATTACATATATCATTGTTTATCAAACAATACCTGTATGTTGTCTTCAATGATTATGGAAATTCATTGTTATAAGATTGCTTTCAACATATACTTGCTGTTTTCAGCAAATGATTATCACAATACAGACAAAGCATACATGCATTGCTCCTGGGTCACGGATGTGGAAGAGTAGATAACTCAAGATTACAGTTATTCATTAGCTTTGGTTGTAAAAGTGGACTACAGGGAATCAAAGGCAAATAAGGTTGGCCGTCACATTGTTCTCTTAAACACAGGTTAAACAAACAGGCTGGCTACCCAATAGGGTATCAGTCTTAAGTGACCTCAAAGTATATTATTAACTGGCAGTGAAGTCTAGCAAAAGTTCCAGTCTCTTGGAATATAAGAGATTTTATTTATCATACTTCATTGCCATACCACTTTTCTTTTCTTTTCTTTTGAGGGGGTGCAGAAGATAGACAGGCAGATACACACACACACACACACACACACACACACACACACACACACACACACAGAGACAGAGAGAGAGGCACAGAGACAGAGAGTGTCACACTATAGCCCTAGCTGGAAACCCACAGAGACTGCCTGGCTCTATCTGCCAAGTTCTGGCATTAAAAGGCACTGTGTCCTAGTCTTGTTTTTTTTTTTTTTTTTTTTTGTTTTGTTTTGTTTTGTTTTTTTCTCTTTCATTTTACCTGCCAATTTAGAGAATAACACAGAGGACAGAATCTGCCCTTTGTTTTGTTGTGGTATCAAATGGCTGATTCCACTCATCAAGGAGGCATGCATGCCATTACATACCGACATGAAGATGGTCTCTCTGGAGCTTTCCTCACAGACACTGGCTGCAGGTAGAACCACTGACTGGTTTACATGTCTTTTCAACCAAGGCAGGAGTAATGCAACCACTACTACAGCAAGTGTCTTAGTTAGGGTTTCTATTGCTGTGATCCAAAAGCAAGTCGGGAAAGAAAGGCTTACACTTCAGCATCGCTGTTCATCACTGAAGGAAGTCAGGACAGGAACTCACACAGGGCAGGATCCTGGAGGCAGGAGCGGATGCAGAGGCCATGGAGGGGGGCTGCTTACTGGCTTGCTCAACCCACCTTCTTATAGAACCCAGGACCAGCAGCCCAGGGATGGCACCATCCACCATGGGCTGAAGCCTCCCCCATTAATCAGCTGGATCTTACAGAGGCATTTCCTCAGCTGAGGTTCCTTCTCTGATGACTCTACCTTGTGTCAGGTTGACACACAAAACCAGCCAGTAGAGCAAAAGAGCCTGCCATTCCTTCCACATGGGAAAGATGACATCAGGATTGCCCCCTTGGGTGCTCCATCCTCAGACAGATTAGCCCCAGTTGCTGTCACAGCAGAGGCAATGCAAGTACCACCCCTAAGCTCATCATTGGTTCTGTCAAGCCCCATATAAAGTACCAAGTGTGCAAATTTTTCTTGTGTGGGGAGACAACTGAATATCTATTCATTCAATTTAGGACACCAATGACAGACTGAACAATTGAGTCCACCCCGTCTACCTTGGCAACCCAGTGAGTTTAATTAGGATTCAGGAGCAGTCGTTGAGAATATTAACAGGAGCTTAGGAAAAGTTATTTACAGGACCAAGGAGTTCATTAACAAAAAAGAAAAGCCAAAACTGAGGCTTAGGCTAGCTATGAGCTAGACCAGAGTTTTACAGGAGATTAGTAGGACCGGCTGATTTCAAACCGGAGTCTCTGGCTGGATGATGGTGGTGTAGGCCTTTAATCCCAGCCCTTGGGAGGCAGAAGCAGGCAGATCTCTGAGGAAGATGTCTGAGTTCAAGGCCATCCTGGACCACACAGAAATGCTGTGTCTAACAACAAACCCCTAAAATCCTAGGGTCTCTACCCCTCAGTGGAGTGCTGTTTTCTTGAATCTTGTAGTTGCTGTAGTTTTATGATGCTGCCATGGAAAATGAGCTCCATACAAAGTAGGTGTGGCCAAGTGCTGCCATACTACTCCCACATTTGCAGTGTGTGGACACATTCATTAATTCACTGCGCCATGCTGCCTTGTTAAAAGAACATTTGGGAAAACAAAAACAAAAAACAGGCTGGTGATATAGCTCAGTGCCAAAGTGCTTGTTCAGTCTCCATGACCACAAGAAGTAAAAACAAAAGGGATGTGTGTGTGAAGAGGCAAGTGCTTATAGAGCTGTGTCTGTATGTACATAATATATATATATATATATACATGTATGTATGTATGTATATATATATATATAAAGTTTATTTCATTAGTTTTAAGCAGACATCTCCTGTAGCAGCTGTTGAACCTTTCAAAAAGAAAGAACAAAAGAATATTATTACACAGATGCATTGAAATGTGTACTTAGTAAAGGATAACGGCCCCCACAGTCTCCGTGTGTGTATGGGTATAAAAGAGGCACCTTCGTAATGTCTGGCCTCTTGTTTTTCTTTTCGTGCAGACACTGACTAGCTGCAGCATACATTGCTTCAACCAAAGCAGGGTCAGCATCGTTCATCTTCTCATCAGTGTAATCTCCAATCGTCTTCTCTTCATCCTCAATCTCATCTTTAATATCCAGCTATAAAATGGGCATTAAACCTTGGTTAAAAGCTTCAACATGGAAGAAATCAGAATATAAATTTAAATGACTTAAATTTGTCTATTTTTGAAATAACCTGAACTCTTACCTTACTATTTTTTTAAATTTTTATTTTACATATTGATTCCAGTTCCCTCTCCCTCCCTCCCTCCCTCCCTCCCCCCCTCCAACATGCACCATACCACCCTCCCCTCCCATGCTACCCCTACTCCACAGATAGGGTGATGCCATCCAGGTGGGGTCATGTAAATCTGTCAAATAATTTGAAGTAGGGACTAGGACTTCTCTCCTGTCTCTATGTTAAGGGAGTATCCCTCCATGGGGGATGTGTCCACAAGGTCCTTTTGTGCACCAGGAATACATCCTGATTCTACTGTCTGAGGTCCCTTAGACTGCTCAGGCCTTCTATCTGAGACCCATGTTCTGGGGGTCTAAGTCAGTCCCATGCTGGATTCCCAGCTATCAGTCTAGGGGGCCCCTTAGCTACTCCTTGTTCCAGTCAGCTGTCTCTGTGAGTTTCTGTAGCCTGGTCTTGTCCTCCTTCTCTGCATCTGGATTCTAGTTCGGCTCAGTGTTTAGTTGTGGGTGTTTGCTTCTGTTTCCAACGTACTAGATGAGGGCTCCATGATGGTGGATAAGTTAGTCATTGATCTCATTATCAGGGAAGGGCATTTATGGTAGCCTTTCCACTGTTGCTCAAATTGTTAGTTGGGGTCAGTCTTGTAGGTCTCTGGACATTTCTTTAAGTTGTTTTTTTATTCAAACCTATAATGGCTCCCTCTTTTATGTTCTCTCTCTCTCTCTCTCTCCTGTCATCTATTCCTCCCCAGACTCAATCTTCCTAGTCCCACCTGTTTTCTCCTCTCTTCCCCTTCTCTTTCTCCTCATTCCCTCTCCACTCACTGCCCCCCCCACACACAATCCCCATGTGCTCTGGAGAACTTGTCCCTTTCCCCCTTCTGTGAGGGACTTTATATGAATCTCTTAGAATCCACCTTGTATCCTAGTTCTTCTGGCGGTATGAATTATAGACTGGTGAACCTTTGTTCTAGTCTAAAATCCATATATGATTGAGAACACACCATGTTCCTCTTTTTGTCAATGGGTTACCTCATTCAGGATGGTTTCTTTAAGTTCTATCCACTTGCCTGTGAATTTCAAGATTCCATTGTTTTTTCCCGCAGAGTAGAATAGTATTCCATTGTGTAGATGTGCCACATCTTCAGTTGAGGGGCATCTAGGTTGCTTCCAGGTTCTTACTATTACAAATAATGCTGCTATGAACATAGCTGAGCACATGTCTTTACTGCATGGATGTGGATCATTTGGGTATATGCCTAAGAGGGGGATTGCCGGGTCCTATGGTAAACTTATTCCCATTTTCCTGAGGAACTACCATACTGATCTCCAAAATGGCTGTATGAGTTTGCACTCCCACCAGCAGTGGAAGAATGTTCCCCTTTCTCCACATCCTCTCCAGCATAAGTTGTCATTGGTGTTTCTAATTTTAGTCATTCTGGCAGGAGTAAGATGGTATCTCAAAGTTGTTTTGATTTGCATTTCCCTGATAGCTAAGGATGTTGAGTACTTTCTTAAGTGTCTTTCAGCCTTTTTGATTTCTTCTACTGAGAATTCTTTCTTCAGTTCTGTACCCTATTTTTTTAATAGAGTTATTTGATGTTTTGTTGACTAGTATATTTTTGAGATCAGTCCTTTGTCAGATGCAGGATTGGTGAAAATCTTTACCCAGTCTGTGGGCTGTGATTTGGTCTTGTCCACTGTGTCCTTTGCCTTACAGAAGCTTCTAAGCCTGAGGAGGTCCCATTTATTAATTGTAGATCTCAGTGTCTGTGCTACTGGAGTTATGTTCAGGAAGCGGTCTCCTATACCAATTTGTTCAAGGGTACCTCCCATTTTCTCTTCTAAGAGGTTTGGTGTGGCTGGATTGATGTTCAGGTCTTTGACAAAACAGCTAAAAGTATACAATGTAGTAAGGAAAGCATCTTCAACAAATGGTGCTGGCACAATTGGATGATGGTGTGTAGAAGACTGCAGATAGACCCATGTCTATTGCCACACACAAAACTTGAGTTCAAATGGACCAAAGACCTTAACATAAATCCAGCCACACTGAACCTCTTACTACTTTTTATAACCTCCGTAAGACTTGAGGCCAGGCAGGACAAATGGTAGATAAGGAAGTGTACACATATGCACACATTACTGATTTACTAGCCTTATCCCCATTTACTCCTGCCCATCTGCTTTGTAGTTCTTGTCTTTCTCCAATGAGCTAATTGCTCACATTCCTGTTGCAGCATTCACCAGTTCAGAGTCATTAGTTTTTTTGATCATTTTTGAAAATGCAATTCCACCTTCTGGACCCAGACACCCCGCCTTTATCCACAGGAACTCAGACTGATGAATCATAGAAAAAGAAGGACTGGGAGACTGGGAGACTAGGAGACGAGTGAGGAGGTGGTGCTGTGGGCTGAACAGTCTAGTTGAGTGATGGTCCCAGAAATGTGTATATATGTATGTCTATGTCCTGGCTCCTGGAGTCTGTGAATATGACCTCATGTAGAAAAGTGATCTTTGAAGACATCTGAAATGAGAGGTCATCTTGGGTGCAGGGGTCTGAATGGAATGTTCATCATGAGTTCCTTTGGTTTTCTATTGGTGGTGCTGTTTGGGTAGGCTTGGGAGGTGTGGCCTTGCTGGAGGAAGTGTGTCACTGGCAGCACCTTTATGTGCTGGATAACTCCCTCGCCTCTGTATTTCTAATGTGTATGTTTTTTAGTCCAACCCCACCTTAAACTTTGTCTATGTCCATATACTAGCAGCTCAAATATGGCAACTCCAATCCAGGCTTCTCTCTTAATGTCCCATAACTGATAGGACAGAGAACTTTATATTTCTAGTTAACATAAAATTTTACCCTTTGATTTACCATTATAATAATCTGAATACCATTAGAATATTCTCACAAATATCTTCCAATATAAAGACATTATATATAGTATATATACTATATACTATTTTAATATTGCATTTCTAACAGACCATGGATATTTTTGTTTTATGGCAGACATCTGTAACAGTCTCACATACTATAGTTTATTCAAATTAGTATTGGCACTAAGATTTTTGTTATTCTTCTGAAATTCTATTTTAATTATCTCTCTCTCTCTCTGTATGTGTGTGTGTGTGTATGTAAGTGTGTGTCAGTATGTGTGTGTACAAGTATATAGGTGCCTTTGGAGGTCAAGAGTCCTCAGATCTGGAACTGGAGTTACAGGCTATTGTAAGACACATAACGTGTGTGCTGGGAACTAAACTTAGGCCTCTGGAAAAGTAGTATGAGCTCTTGACTGCTGAGCCATTTCTCTAGCCTTGACATTAAGACTGAACAAGCAAGTTACACTTTCTGATTCTCTGTTCCTGATTATGGGACATGACCCAGTATATATCAATTATCTGAATTGTTCATATTGGTTTGCTCTATTAGGGCATATAAATAAGTTAGGATAATAGGAGTATAGTCACTAATTTTTAGAAACACTTATATAATAAATATATACCTATACATATATATAAAGACACATATGTTTTTATATGGATGAGTATCACATATACATTTTTATACATATATAAAGATATATGTAAAGGCCCGTGTGTATATATGTATATGTATATATTAAAGGATGACACATAATTTATCTATAGTTTAGTTATCATTTAACCCGTCCACATATAAATTGTCAATCAAATGTTCGGTATAAAAATTAGAAGGGTAGGAATGGTAGTGCAGGAGAAGGAAAGTGTTTTATCTTTGCAAATAAAGTACTCCATGATGAAACAGACAGTCTCACTGGCATTTATATTCTTATGTGGATACAAATGAAAACTAATTTATTTCCCTATGACCTGAAAATGGCCCCGCCACCCAGGGTCTGTACACCTGGAAAGTAAAAAGCCACAGGCAAGCTAGCTTTCTTCTCATTTTGCTACAAAGACACAGGAACAAGTAATATACAAATAATCTTTTCAGGTACACATCCAGCAAACCCAGGACCGTAAACACATCATACACTTTCACTATGACACATAGCCAGAATTATGTCAGAAATGCATTTCTATATGCCATATTGACACACAGGAACTTAAGACCACAAGACAAAGGAGGAAAAGACTGGCAAAAATGAATTACTTACTAGTAATTGAGGCTCACGGTTTTCATCCACGGCTGCAAGTCCAGTGATTAGCTCTAATAAAACCTAGGAAGACAAAAAGATCCATTAGCAAAATGCTGAAGACATCGACTAGGAATTAAAAGAAGGGCTAGAGAGATGGCTCAGGGGTTAAGAGCATTGCCTGTTCTTCCAGAGGTTCTGAGTTCAATTCCCAGCAACCACAAGGTGGGTCACAACCATTTATAGTAAGATCTGGCCCCCTCTTCTGGCCTGCAGGCATACATGCAGGCAGAAAGCTGTATACACAATAAATAAATCTTAAGGAAAAAAAATAAATTAAAAGGCATATGGACTTAGCCTAGGGACTTGGACATGCTAAGTAAGGATTTCTTGTTGTGCTAACCACTGCCCTGGAACATGGATGTTGACAGAAATCTACTTAGTAATTCCTGCATAAACCTATGGCTATAGATAACAAAAAGTTCTCCAGGACACGCATTCTGGGAATCCAGATCCTTTTCATTATTACAGGTATCTCAGGAGAATATTATTTTCTAGCCAGTAGTCACATTGTATAACCCCATGCTTTAATGTTATGGTGGAGTAAAGTTGTTTCCATAAATGAAACCTATTTGGAAGACTAAGATGAAGATGAGGCCCCATTAATCTCACCCCTCATTCTTCACTTCTGTGAGATGATAAATGACAAAAAAAAAAAAAAAAAAAAAAAAAAAAAAAAAAAAAAGCAAGAGGAAAAAAAGTACACATCATGTGACAGGATTAACATTGTGCTCTGACTCAGTTTAAGTTTTGTTTAGATTTGTGGTAAGAAAATCTTTCCTTGCAGCAATTAAAAAGAAATCAAGTCAAAAACGTTTGCATATTGAGAATTGTTCATAACTTTCTGGTGTAACTATAGGCTAATATGAGAGGTAAACAAGACACATGTACTAAAACATCCTAATTTAATTCACAATTTCAAAAGAATCATCATGGGCTGGAATGAGGGCGTAGCTAGTAAAGGCACTTGCCACCAACCCTAATGGCCTGAGTTTGGTTCCCTGGAACCAGCATGATGGTAGGAGAGAACTGGCTCCTACAAGCTACCCTCTGGCTCTTGGCACATGTATGCTGTGGCATGCACATGCACACACACTAAAAAGAATACATGCAAAACAACAAAGAAAATGATCACGTACCACACCAAAGCTGTAGATGTCCGATTTGGGTGTTATTTCTCCTCGCAAAGCTTCAGGTGCCATATAAGCCGTTGTGCCCACAATTCGGCTGGTCATGACTGTCTGGGTAAACTTTGCCGAAGCCCGGGCAAGCCCAAAGTCAGATATTTTGGCAGTAAAGTCTTTGTCTAGTAAGATATTTGCACTGGAAAAAAATTTAAATTTGAAGGAAGAAAACATTTTTTTCCCTTGGCTACAAGGTCAAATAGGTTCTGAGAAAGTGATACATGCATATGTATGCATATGTATATATACACATATGTAATACGTGTGTGTGCCATTTTAGAGGTGCAGCATAGAAGACTGAGATGTATTTAAATCAGTCAATTATTCAGATGACAGCAAGAGAGAAATTGCCATTTTCCTTTCTTTTCTGTATCTTGAACAGAGATGTTTAAAGGGATGAAAACATAATAAATTTTCCCCTTACGGGAGTTACAATTTGGGTATGCCACAGACAGCCTAACCAGGGAGCCTCTTTAAAAACAAAATTTATAATGGTGCTGGTGACTGAACCCAGAGCATCACTTGAGGTGGGCAACAGCTTTACTACTGAGCTACATCCTTAGGCCAAAAGTACTGTTCTTAGAAAGAAATTCGATTTTCTAATGGGGTATATTTTAATATCTTATGTATTACATGGTAGTCTTGTGGAATATTCCTTTACACTGTGTGATTGGTTTAATAAAAAGATAAATGGCCAATAGCTAGGCAGGATTTTCAGGGCAGAGAGGACACTGGGAAGAAGGGCAGAGACACCAGGATGGACAATACAGAGATGAGGTAATAAAGCCGTGAGGCAAAAAGTAAACTAATAGAAATGGGTTAATTTAAGTTACAAGAGCAAGTAAAAACAAGCCTATAGGCTGAGCTTTCATAATTAATGATAAGTCTCCACGTCATTATTTAGGAGCTGGCTGGAGGGACAGAGAAAGACTTGCTACATAGCAGTTCAGTCTTGTCCACATAGTGTAGTCATATCAGGCTAGGCAGCACGGCAGCCTCTACAGTCATTGGCCATTTCTATGTGCTGGCATTCTGCGATCTTACAGCCACCCTGAGAGATCTCACAGGCCTTTAGCCTACAGTTCTACTGAGCTGAGGAAGACTGAGAAGCCATGGCTCAACTTTGTTTGGTACTGCCTCTGTTTCTGCTGCTGCGCTCCCTATCCCTACTGAACACCCCGGTATTCCAAAGTTCTCTGGGATTAGTATCTAGAAATGAGTGAGAACATGTGGTATTTGCCTTTCTGTCAGGGTTTGAGATGAGTCAAAGGCACCTTAACCCCTTTCCTAACATTTCTCAATACATTTGGAAACAAATTTCCAACCAAACTACAGGAATTTTTATTTCTTTCACATGTCCTTCCTCTGTACTTCCTGGAAATAAATAAATAAATAAATAAATAAACATATATATATATATATATATATATTTTATTATTATTTTATTGAGACAGGGTCTGAGTATATAGCTCCGGCTGTCCTGGAATTATGTAGACCAGGCTGGCCTTGAACTCACAGAGATCTGCATGCCTCTGCCACATGAGTGTTGGAATTCCGAGGAGTACACACCTGGCTGTACTCCTTGGAATCTTAAAGAAATATGTACAGGTGAAACATCTCCATCCATGTATCATATGAATTCATTTGTATGTATTTTCTTACAGAGAGCTCCTACAGTTTATAGTATTTAAGGTGACAAAAAACAGAAACAAAAACAAAAAACAAAACAAAATAAAATAAAACAAACAACAACAACAACAAAAAACCACACAGGTCTTATTTGTGACAAAGGCATATGAATAATTTTTAGTACTTTAAAAAAAAAACCAATGAAGATTACAAGATGGCAATATTCGGTAGGAAATGCTGATGGAATGATTGTAGGTGAATTGAGGAGGGATTTACAGAGCAAATGAGACACATGCTTAGTCTTAGTTATCAGAAATGGATGTTTCTAAGAGGGAAGAAAGGCATGGCAGGCCAGTAGAGGAACAAGATGGTTAAAGCACAGAGTATATGGTATACACTGCCACTCAAGGAACTTGTGTCCATGGAATGCAGAGAGAATTTGGACTTTATCCTTGGGTACCAGGACAACATTCAGTTTTCAGAACAGGTGACTGATACTATCAAACATGCGTTTTAGGACCTTAAGATGCCACTGTGGTAGGGAAGAGCTGAGACCTAGTACAAATTGTTTTTATCAAGTAGGAAGGCTTGAAATAAAGTTGATAAATGTTAACAAATGTTAGGTAAACACTGGGGATAAATGGGAATTGCAAATTTTCAGGCACACCCAATAAACCTTTGCAAAAGTGTGGCTAGGAAGGACAGAAGACACAGAAGACAGTGATCAGAATCTCTGAACCAGCCCCCTCCTCTGTGTGGCTCTGTGCATTCTCCAGGACCGACCTTAGTTTAAGGCTTATCTTGCGTTTGTCCATTGTAACCTTTCCCTCTTTTCTTAGGCACTTCTCATAGTCATATAAGCATGCACTAGTCTTGCTTTTTTTTTTGGGGGGGGAGGGTTTGAGACAGGTTTTCTCTGTATTGCTTTGGAGCCTGTCCTGAAACCAGGCTGGCCTTGAACACAAAGACACAAAGATCCACCTGCCTTTGCCTCCCAAGTGCTGAGATCAAAGATGTGTGCTACTACTGCCTTGGCTAGTCTTGGCAATATTAAGGGATTCCTAAATGGCATATCTGTTTTCAGATGTCACACTTTAGGATCAAAACATCATAAAACAGTGTTTCTACTCTATTCCCAGTTTTCTAGCTCCCACTCTGTCCCCCATACAACCTGACTTCTAACTCAATTCCTAAATGGAAATAATCATGAATGACCTGCATGGTATTAATCCAATGGGTTAACCTGACTTCTACCCACCTCTTGGCAAACTTTCTTTACTTGATTTGGGAGACAGTACAATCCACGTACAGGCTTTCATCTACCTATGTGTTTATATAGTTTATTAGATGTGTTTTGGGGACTATTCTCTTTTGTTTGGCCATTATGTCTTAGGGGTCCTTTGTATTTAACCCTGGGCCCTTGTGCTATATCTTTCCATAATTAAATAACTCTTCAAGCATCATGTCCATGCGAGTGCTACACATTTATATCTTCAGCTCAGATGTCTGCCTATAAATTTGTATGTGACACTGTCTGCCTCACCTCTCCATCATAAGAGAATTTCAAACATAGAATGCACACCTCTCCTAAGCCCACCCCAACCTAGAGTCCTTCTGGGTCTTTCCATACAAGTGAGTCATGCCACAACAATTCCCAGAGTGCAACTGTGGGTGCTGTAACTGATACTCCCCTCTTCCCAGGCCTTCTATAGCTAAGACACAAACCTGTCTTGCCACATTAATCACTCGTGTCTGCTCACTTATGCTCATATGAACTAGGTCTACCAAAATGTCTCTAGTGCTCTATTAATAATCCCTGATTTTAAACTGCTCTCTACTCTAGAGTCAGAGTGATTTGCAAAGCTTGAATATGATACTGTACTCCATCAGTTCTCAACCTGTAAGTTGTGCAACCCCTTTGGGAGATGAACGAGCCTCTCACAGGGCTTGACTATCAGATATCCTGCACAGCAGATATTTAAATTACAATCTATAACTAGTTAGGCAACAAAAATGATTTATAGGGGACACCACAACATGAGGCACTGTATAAGGGTCACAGCATTAGGAAGGTTGAGAACCACTGCCATCGTTTTATAACTTTCAACAGCATCTCATTACATTTATAATCAAACGCTGGGCTTTGTCTACCAAGCCCCATAGGACTTATTTAATTTCCTCTCATGTCTTCTACCCCTCAGTTTCTGCACACCAGTAACGCTGTAATCATTTTACTTTCTGTAACTCATCATGATTTCATATTTCATATGCCCTCTTTTTTTTTTTTTACAGAAAAGATTTACTTATTTTATGAAATCAGTACTCTATCTGCATGTACACCTTTATTTCAGAAGAGGGCATCAGATCCTATTAGAGATGCTTATGAGTCACCATGTGGTTGCTGAGAATTGCACTCAGGACCTCTGGAAGATCAGCCAGTTCTCTTAACTGCTGATCTATCATCTCTCCAGCCCCCTCATATTCCCTCTTAACACTCATAGGCTTACGAGTTCTAGACTATTTTACTAATCTTCTGTACAACTACCCTCAGACTATGCTTCCTTATTTCCTGCTCAATGTTCAGGTCTCAGCTTAAACATCATTCCTTTCAAAATCCTTCTTGATAGTAAGACTGAACACTATAATAAATGCTAAAACTATTATTTTGTGATTATCTGATTGATATGTTGAGGTACATCTGCTGATCATATTATGTACAATGTCTAGCACATGGTAGCTAAATATTTAACTAGGTAAATAACATAAGGGTGGAGAGGACTAAAAAAAAAAATATCCATGGAGAATGAAGGTGATTCAGGAGAGATCAGTGATCCAAAAACAAAGAAAGAACCTAATCTCCCTGAGGAGAAGTAGGTCAGAGGGCTTGGGACAATGGAGATTATAGGTGTGTATAGTGTAGAGGTCTTTCCAGTGATGGGGCAAGTCTAGCCACTGTATGTTAAGACAAACATGCAAAGGGAGAATGAAAAGGGCGAGAGAAAATTATTCTTTAGAAATGGCTTTCAAAAGCTTCCCCATACTAGACTTACCTTTTAATATCTCTATGGATATGATGATTTTCATGCAGAAAACTAATGCCATTAGCTGCACCCTGAGCAATCTTACATCTCATGTGCCAAGAAAGTGGTGGGGTGCCATCCTTACAAAAAAAGAAACTGGTTTTAAATAATCGTTTAGGTGAAACAAAAAATCCATAGAAAACCCATAACAGTATTTTTGTTTACTAAGAATTCAGATTGGCAAAATTTAAAGCAAAAGTAATCTTAACTAAGATTAAATGGACTCTGCACTCTCACTTGAAAATGAAAATATGTGAGACCATCATCAACACCCAACCTTGACTGATGCTTTTGAATTTTAAATTTTCAATACTTGTCAACACATAAACAGCATCATTTCACAGAGCAAGAAAATAGTAAGATTACCGTGGTTTAAGTGTTCCCGAACAAATGTGAACAGTAGCAATCCAAACATACAAACAGAAAGTGGGAAAATCTGGTGACAGGTGTCTTACCAAGCAGGACAGCCTGTCCAGCAAGGAACCATTGGGCATGTAAGCATATACTAAACACAGGTCATCGCTGTCGCTTGAGAAGCCAAGTAGCTCTACCAGGTTTTCGTGCTGACACCTGTACAAGTGAGGTAGCATGCAAAATTGTTACACTAAGTATTTCTAGGAGTCACTCAATTTCAGAGTTTTAGCAGAAAGATCAAAGAGATAACTGCATATAAATGTGTGTGTGTGTGTGTGAATAATATGCAACATATATCATATATAATATGACAGGTGCTCATAACATGCTAGCACTTTCATTGAAATTGCTGATTCTTTTCTGTAAACGGTTCTTGTTTCTGTGACACTGATCCACAAACCTCTCTTGGTCCTATGGTCACATTTGATTAGATCAGTGGAACCTGAGACAGGTTAGTCCAGGACATGGCTGATGCCCATCTTTTTGTTCAGTGCCTTTTCAAGACCTGGAAACTTAGAATATGGAAAAATCCTTGAACATAACAAAATTCTAACACTCCCAAGGTACTGCTTTATAGGAACGGTCTTCAGTCACATTTAACTTTCATACTTTTGGTCCTTAACCACGTGCTTGTCTACAATCTGAGATTTTTGTACACTTGAGAGAAATGAGTACAAAGGCTACAGAGGAACAAAGCTTCAGGCTTCAGCTGAAAGCGCAGTCCTGCCACCTCCTGGACCTGCAACACACAGCATGTGGACAATCTCAGTCTCAGGGCTTCCCTACATACAGAACAGGGCACTAGCACAACGGTCTCACACAATGTGGGTGCTGTGAGGATTAATGAATACCTGCAGCACACACGGCACAGGAGAGACCCTCCATTCAGGGCTTACTCATTTTGCTCATTCCATGTCTCTGTAATTCTGCATAGCCTTGCATAAAACCAGACTTCCACTGCCAGAAATACTCTGAGAAGTGTAAGTGCAATTGATAAATTCCCCATTTCCACCACACTTGCATATTTTAAACACAAGTAGATAGCACACATCGGATTTCTACTGTCTATAAAGTAGGTGGTGGCTTACCTACTTTGTCTCACTAACCATTATAATGTGTTATTATTTTACTCCCCAATGGACAGAAGTAAGAAATTTGGACTAGGTCATTCTGATACTAAGGTCTGGAAAGTGACATTTAAAAAGTGTAACACTAGAGGCTGGGGATGTAGTGTAATCTAGAGGGTGACCAGTGTGGTGTTGGTGATGAAACCCAGAGCCTTGTTCATGGCAGACATCTCACCGCCTGGGCCACAAGTTACGCTTAGAACTGAATACTGGAGGTAGAGGTGAGGAGGTCAAATCTGAAGAGGGCTTTGGCTCTTCTTTCCACGTGCACCATTTTTACTGTACACAAATTACTCTTGGTCTGTTAGCTATTTTATGAGGGCAAATAACTGGAGTGGGTGACAGACAACATGGCCTCATGTTGTTTAAAACCCTCCTTAGGATTCGACCACCAACAGCTCTGGAATTAGCTACACTTGAACAAAAATCCATCTCTAATACTTGCTGGCAATGTGACCTTGAGCAAATTATTTCACATTTCTAAATCTTGTTTTAAATAAAGGAGGTTGCACTCATTGTTCTCAGAATTAAATGATTCCATGAACTTAAAGTAGGCAGAACAGCATATGGCATGCTGTATAGACTCAAATGCCAATCACTGGGATTGTTACATCTTCTGATTTGGTTCTTATCCCCTTCCTTATTAACCCCAGGAATTTCCTACATTCTGCATCACTATATTCCTCAAGTCTTTGTATATGGCATTTCCTTAGTTTCCTCTGAATTTAACTTCTCCCAGGGTCTGTTATTTTATAAACAGTTTTAGTTTTTATTTATTTTTTGAGATAGACTCTTCCTATATAGCTCAGGCTATCTTATAACTTGCAACATAGCACAGGGTGTTCTTGAATTCACAATCCTCTACCTTATCCTCACAAGTACTGGGATTACAGGAGTGCAGCATCATTCTTGGATTTACTTATTTATTTTTTAATCACTACAACTGATCTGTCAGGAATTCTTGGACTAGAAACCTGATAATGGGAAATACTTTGAATCCTCTGTAACTTTGATGTGATGTAAAATACCAAACCCTTTTAATCTGCCAGCATATAAGTATAAGTGATCATATAATTAGAGAATCAACAGTGCTGGTCTCAACTCTGTATCTTTACAAATCTGAATCTGCACACTTTGATGCGAAACCTGGTCCCCTTGCCTTATGCCATGCTTTTGCCCCATGCCACACAGGCACATCAACACCATCAACACTTACTTTGCCATTACTTTAATTTCTTGATCAAACTGTTGCTTTAGTTCCTCAGTACTGATTTCAACCATCTAGGAAAATAAAAACATATACTGTAACACAATGCAATAACCTTGTGGCTCCTAAAGCTGGAAGGGGGCTCAAGAAAGAGTCCTCTGCTGACTTGCTTACTTTAACATCACATGGCAAACCAGGTGACTTAGGACTATAGTCCCAGATAACTGTGAGGCTGAGACTTACAGGTGAGTTCAAGGGTGGCCTATGCAGCTTGACCTTTGCTCCAAGTGAGTCATAAAGAGGGCTAGGATATAGCTCAGTGGTAAAGTGCTGGCTTAACATATACAAAGTGCTGGCTCTGGATTCAATAGTAATACAGGAAAATGAATATAGAATAATGTCTTCCTACCATCTGCACAGCTGGGTCTTAACAACCTGACAGCAAGTGACAAGAGACTAAGACAGACAGACAGACAGACAGACAGACAGACATAAGTAACACAAAGCTGGGATCAAACAGTCCATGTGGTGAGATGTTGCCATACCAGCAACACAGATACTCAGCCTGTTTAGCATGCATAGCTTGTCTTAAGATGCAGTAAGCTAATTTTGGTAAGGGGGTCCTCTGTAGGGCAGCAGCCTCAGGCTTCAGTCACCTGGGAACAGAGGTTGATACCTTTTACATGCACTGGCCTTAGCTAAAGGCCAACCATTTGTCAACATCCATACTCAGACCAGAGGAAGGCCTTGCCCTTCCCTGCCCAGGAGCCTGAGGCACTGGGGCCTTTGACATGACCATTCTCATGTTACAAATGCTCATTCATGATGTCTGCTCATACAGGGGTACACATGGTCTTATTCTCTTTGTTTTAAAGAATTATTGACATCTAGAAACACAAGTGATTTGCCTTAGATCCATATTGTTTTGGAAAAAGGAAAAAACATAAACCTTTAGGGTTGTGATAGAAACAAAATGAAATATAGTATTTCACCACAGAAGAATTTTAAAAAAGAATTCTATGTAACAACATGAAAGCAAATGTGAATAGAAAAAGAATTAAATCCAACGAAAGCACCTACAACATTAATGATGAAGGATGCCTGTGTATATACATATTCAGGACACTGACACTTTAAAGATAGGAAAGGTAAAAAAAAAGAAACCCTTGTAGAAATTGTAACAATAATATTAATAAAAGAAATTGTAACAAAGAACAGGCAAGGACACTCCTTTTTTATAATGTGCATTTTAAAAAAATATTATTTTTGCTGGGCATGGTGGTACATGCCTTTAATCCCAGCACTTGGGAGGCAGAGGCAGGTGGATCTTTGGGAGTTTGAGGCCAGCCTGGTCCACACAGTAAATTCCACGATAGCCAGGACTACATACACAGACCCTGTTTCAAAAAAGTATGTTATTTTTAAAATTTTATTTATTTATTGTGCATGTGCACGAGTGCGTGTGTGTGCATGAGTGCATGTATGTGTGCATGTGTGTGCATGTGCATGAATGCACGTGTGTGTGCATGTGTGTGTGTGTGTGTGTGTGTGTGCATGCACGCCTGGGTCACATTGAGCATGTGGAGGTGAGAGGACAAATTGTAGGAGCCAGTGCTCTTATTCTACTATATGGCTCCCAGGGATCAAACTCAGATTATCAGGCTTTTGGTGGCAAGCACCTTTACCTACTGAACTATCTCACTGGCACCTAAATGATATTTTTAAATGAGTCAGTTCATGCAAAAGTATCCAGATAACATTTTCTTAGTATTTTAGCTTGAATCTAAATTATGTAAGAGGCACTGTGGTGCAAGAGTTCTTAACTCTATCTTGTGAATCTACCACAATTACAAACATGATTCTAGGTCTGTGTCCATAAACACTTTCCTAGGGCTCAGCTTTTCAGCCCTCAATAGATTCTTACATGTTACGAGATACAGCTTAGGATGGGGTCCACTTAAAGGGAGTAAGTGTTAAGATAATAAATCCCCAGAAGGTTAACTGACAGCCTGTTCTGACAGGAGGAAGGAAGACAGCTTACGGCTCCAAGCTTCTTCACGGCCACGGTTGTGTCGTTCACACAGCCTTTGTACACCACTCCAAAGCCTCCCTCTCCCATTCTGTTGCCTCCAACAGAAACAGGTCGCTCGTCAAAGTTATTAGTGATGCTCTTCAGTTCATAAAAGGAAAAACTGTGAAAACCTATTGCATCAACAAAACAAGGAAGAGGTGCTCAAATAAAAGAATGTGGCTTTAGCAACTGATATTTATAATTGGTATCTTCTCAATTTGAAGATCACACACACACACACACACACACATACACACACACGCAAGCATGTGCGGGCACTCACATGAAATACAGACTGTAACCTTTATCCTGACAATTACACTTGGTGATTCTGTACCAAACACTCTATCTTCACCCAAAATACTTATTTGGCTAAGTTCTATCTACTTCTCCAGAACTCGAGTCATGTTTAAAAATTATTTTATTTATACATTTATTTTTGAGACAGGGTATCATGCAGATTAGGTTCACCTTGTATTTGCTGTTCAGCTGAAGCTGGCCTCAAACTTTGGGCTTCCCTGTCTTTTCGTTCCCTGGGGTCTGGAGCGCAGGTATACAGCACCACACTGTTTTCTTAGTTCTGTGACTATTTGCATGGCACATTGCTTCAAGTCACCGAAAGAATAGTAACAGATGCAATGGCAATGGTAGTAATTAAATACAAAGGAAAATACAAGTCTAAGGATGCTGCCAACATGCTTCTGCCCACAGTACAAATGGGGAGAGATCTTCTTTAAATCACCACAGTGGCAAATTCACCAGTGGCAAAGCACACGCAACATTACTTACGAGTCTCAGTATCACTGAGGTCTACGCTTTTGCTTTTGTTGTCAGGGCTTGAGGAGTCAGGTAGCCCACAGCTTTGTGCTGGCCTCTGCACAGGCATCACCAGTGTCCTGACTTTTTCGTGGCAGGGCCTGTGTGTCTGTGGCACCGTTGCAGTTTCTCTAGAAGGTATATTGCTGACAGTTTGGGGAACAGCATCTGCCGAACAAGAAGACAAAATTACTCTTTGTGTAAGAAGAAAAGTCTTTGTGGGAAAACAGTGTGGTGTTTTCAATGAAAGTGAACCCCACAGGATCATAAGGAGTGAAACTATTAGGAGGTGGGGCGTTGCTGGAGGAAGCGTGTCGCTGGGAGTAGGCTTTAAGGTCTCAGATGCTCATCAGGCCCAGTGTCTCTCTCTCTCTTCCTCTCTCTCTCCCTCTCTCCTGCCTGACAATCAGAAACTCACAGCTACTTCTCCAGCACTATGTCTGCCTCCTGTGCTGCCATGCTTCCCACTAATGTTTTTCTTTATAAGAGTTGCTGTGGTCATGGTGTTTCTTCACAGCAACAGAAATCCTAACTAAGAAAACCAGGACTCACATGCAGCATCTAGATGTTGGCCCTACACCCTACCAAACACAGGAGGATCCTCAGTATGATGCTGTTCCTTGTGATAAAGATGAATAGACAGAGTGACAGTGTTTACAAAAGTGGTTCAGAGCCATTAGGAAATTAGGAAACACTGTATTTAGTTAGGAATAGAGAACTAGTGGGCATGGTGGTGCCCACCTGTGATCCCAACACTCTGAAGGTAGAGACAGGAGAATCAAGTTCAACTTTAGTCTTGACTGCTACCTGAGATTCTGTGTACAAAAACAAACAACTAGACACACACACACACACACACACACACACACACACACACACACACACACACACACGGCAGCAGGGGGCAGTGGTGGGAAGGATCAAAAACATCAGTGCTACTGAGTCCTATTAAGAAGGTGTGTTGGGAGGTGGTGGTGCTTGCCTTTAATCCCAGCACTCATGAGGAAGAGGCAGGTGAATCTCCGTGAGTTCGAGGACAGCCTGGTCTACAGAGTGAGTTTCAGGAGAGCCAGTGCTACACAGAGAAACCATGTCTCAAACAAACCAAAACCAAAACCAAATCAACCAACCAACCAAACAAACAAAAAAACTCAAAAGAAGGTGTGGCATGGAGTCCAGTAATCTACACATTCAACAAGAACTCTAAGAGATTCTTTACACAGTAAAGGTCGAGATCCCCTAGTGTATGAAAGGGAGAAAAGAAGTGGAGTGATGGCCAGGGCAGAGCAACAGTAACACAGGGAAATGTAGTGTAAGGAAGCCATGATGAGAGTCCTGTGAAGGTGAAGCCCAATGGGGGTCTAGAGAGAGACATGGCTCTAAAGAGTAAATTCTTGTAGGATGAATTCTTCATCCCTCTGAGTAAAACCTTCTGGTACAAAACCACCTGGCTTTGGGGTGCTTAAACGCTACCCCTGAGTTTCTATCACTTTAGCAGCACAGTCTAGCGCATCAGCCATCTAGAGTGGTTAATGGCTGGGGATAGCTGAAAGAACGAGGGAACTCAAGTGTCAGGTGTGTTCATTCCATAGAAGAGTAAAAGGAAAAACAAACACTTTGATTTCTGCTGTTCATCACTTCAGCCAGCCGCTGGTGCTCTGGCCACACCCAGTTTACCCGGCAGTAGGAGAGTAGCAGGGGCGAAAAGCTCAATCTGGACCAGAAGATCCACAAGGTCACCAACTGTGCAGTTTGTGGTACCCCAGTCGAACAGCAGCTCACATGTAGGGCTTTTCCCAGTCTGGAGTAAGGCTTCGAATCTCCTGAAAAGCAAGAGACAAAACTAGTACACAAGGAGCATTCATCTGAAGATAGACACTGATCTCTGCACCACAACCACATCCCCTTCTGTCCAAACCACTCTCCACCACTTCTGCGTCCCCTCCTGTCCAGACCACTGGCTCTCACCAGGACGGGACGGACGGGACGGGAGTGTGAGAGAACCCGGAAGGACCCCCATCTAGGAGAATGGCACTCAGCAGAAAAGGATTCAGAGAAGATGACAATTCAAGTTAACAACTGGGGCTGGAGGGATGCTCAGTGGTTGAGAACACTGGCTGCTTTTACAGAGGACCAGGGTTTGGTTCCCAGTATCCTCAGGGCAGCTCACAAGCACCTGCATTTCCAATTCCAGGAGATCTAAAACCATCTTCTGTCCTCCATGGGTATGGGCATGCATGTGGTGCAAATACATATATGTAGCATAAAACAAAATAAAGAACTCTAAAAACTGTAAATTAACTTTTGGGGCGGAGGAGGTATCTCAGTTGCCTTTGCCAGTATAAAGACTGAGGGCCTGAGTTCAGATTCCCCAGCATCCAGCAAAGAAGAGGCAGTGCCGGGCACCTGCTCTAATACTGGGCTAGACAGGTAGTGACCGGCATATCCCTGATGCCCATCTGTTAGACTTGATGAATTTGTAAGCTCCAGGCTCTTCGAGATACTGTGTCTCAAAAAACAGATGGAGTGAGAGTGAGCAAGGCACCCCATGTTGACCTCTGTCCTCCACAAACACGCACACTTACCATGCACACACAGTTAACACATACACACACACACACAAACACACATATCAGTCAAACCCACCTGGTTAGTATTATTTAGCAAATATTACCTCACAGAGCTACAGGATATCTCTAGAGCAACCAGCTGAGAATGTTAGCATGAGACTGCCAGACGGGGATGGATGGAGTAGCCAGTTGTGAGCCATACAGCACACCCAAAATGTCACCCAGGTTTAGTTCAAGTTCTGATCTCTCCTGACCAAAGAGCACACTTTAAAACCACTTAGCTATTGCAATGTCTACATGCACCTTACGTGACAGTGTAAGCATACAGTCTTCTAGCTGTTTACTTTTAAATGAACAAGCCTGCCTCATGAAGCAGAATGTGCCTATGCTTTCCTCTCAACTATATTTAAATAGAAAGAAAAACATCTGTAATTTTTCATCTCATTTCTTTAAAATTAAAACTTAGAAAGTAATACTGGAAACTTAACCCAAGCTCATTCTGGTTTTCTTTCCAAGGTTTTGTTTGGAAACATTTCAAACTTTAACAAAGACTGTGAAATAGCACAGTGAACAACTTGCCCTCCATCTAGATTTACCAATTGGCCAGCTGGTAGCATCTGTCCACATCCGTGCTCTTGTGAATGCTCTTTTAACCTTTCTCTATACATGGCATGCGATACAGGCCAGGTATCTTGTCTGTATCTCAGTCTCCATTTACAGGACTACTTTTTAATGAGTAATTTCAATCACAGTTAACATTTTTGCTAAGAACTACACAAGAGGTAATGTTTTCTTCCTGCTACATCATACCCGGAGGCACAATATGTAGTTCTGTGCCATGACTGGGGGCACTGTTTGATCATTTGGATAGGGAGATGTGCTTCAGATTTCTTCATGACACAAGTACCTCTCTCAGGCTGGGTATGCTGATGCACACCTGTCGCCCCAGCACTTAGAAGGTGGAGGCAGGAGGATCAGGAGTCCAAGGCCAGCCTTACAAGGTTGAGGACAGCCTTGGCTATGCAGGACCCTGTCTCAGCAACAGTTAGTTTTCTCTTTCTTAATGCACACAAAATTTGTGGACAAAACTTTTATGTTTGAGTCCCATGAGGCTCATGAGAAGCAGTCTTCCCTGGTGGCTGAACATGGCTGACATAATAAATTCTGCTATTCTGACAATGTTTTTGGCACTGTTTAGTATGGAAGAGTCCTTTCTCTCTAGAATGACCACTGCGACAACCTCACATTTTTAATAAAAATATCATCAAGCTATCCTTGAAAAATTGGTTTTTGAGTTTGAAAGCTGAGCTTCTCCCTTGTACCTTAAAATGTTTGCCTTCATGTGAGAGACATTTGTATGAAGGACAATTGGGAGCCCAGACTTTAGAGTCTTTATCAGATTTATTAAAAATAAAAAATCAATAATTCATTTTTTTCTTTTTATATAAGAGATTTTTGGCAGTAAGTTTTAATGCAAAATACAGCACAAAATTTAAATCTGAGGCCTGGTGGTGGTAGTGCGTGCCTTTGATCCCAGCACTTGGGAGACAGAGGCAGGTGATCTATGTGAATTCGAGGCCAGTCTGGTCTATAGAATGAGTGCCAGGACAGGCTCCAAAGCTCACAGAAAAACTCTGTCTTGAAAAACAACAACAATTTTTAATTAGAATTTGTATTTTCTACTAAATCAAGCAGAGATGAGAAGAGACAGTTATGTTAGACAGTGTTTATGCCTGAATCCTGCTTGTGATGAGAAGGATTTAAAAAGAAAAATAAACACCATATTACCTTATATGGAATTGATTGTACCTATCATCACCAGATGGTTTTTTAATAGCTACTGCTAATTTCTTCCATCCTTCTTGAGGATCAATAAAATCTGACAGCTTCCTAATGAGTCCAACATTGAGGCTTCGTACATATGTGGATGGTGTCAGAGGCTTGTTCATCTTCTACCTGAAATATGAAATATTTTCATTAAAACTTCACAATAAGTCAGCTGGGCAGTAGTGGCACACACCTTTACTCCCAGTACTTGGGAAGCAGAGCCAGGTGTTATCTCTGAGTTTAAGATCAGCCTGGTCTACAGAGCAAGTTAAAGGACAGCCAGGGATATACAGAGAAAGTCTGTCTCAAGAACAAAACAAATAAATAAAAATGAAAAACAACAAAAACAAAAACTAAAAAAAGCAAAGAAAAAAAGTTAAAACCCTCACAACTTTACAAGTTTCAGGCCAGCATCTAGAAGCTGCATGCCATGCACTGGTAGATGCATGAGATGCTGCAACTGACTATCTGAACACAGCAACTCTCGCTCCAACCTACCTCTCATCAAAAGTTGTCTAATCACCCTCTAGAATTATTCTCCCATCCCCCAAACCAACATTGGAAAACTTCATTCTGACGCTGGAATTTTCCACGTGAAATTTATAAAAAACAAGATGTCTATTGGAAAGCGACCTGGGAGCATGTTCAGGAATCAAATCTATGAGATGAATAGAAGAGACTTATCTCCTAAATTTAAGTATTTTTCTCAGTTAGTACCCATTTATTATTACATTTAAAATTATTTATTCATTTTATTTTATGTATATGAGTATTTTGCCTGCATGTATGTATGTGCCCCATGTGCCTGTCTGGTGCCTGCAGAGTCAGAAGAGGGCACCAGATGATCTGTAACTGGAGTACTGATGACTGTGAGCCACTGTGTGGGTGCTGGGAACTGAACCTGGGTCCTCCACAGCAAGGGCTCTTAACCACTGAGCTGTCACTCCAGCATCTACTATTAACATTCTTTAATGCAACCCTCTTTGGCCAAAATTAAAAAATAAGACAAAATAAAACTAATTCACACAGCATTAGAGACACATTCCATCCACCCACTTTTCACGAAGCACACAAAGAACCTTGAACATTTATGAGCCTGAGATCTGCATGACTACTGTGTCCTGCATGGTGGAATCCGTGGCCACCTCTGTAGCTCCTCTTGTGATAGTACCTTTATTTGATCGATCCTCCTGTTTCCTAGTATTCCACCTTGGAGGCTGCAGCCAAGAGATACCTCCCAGTGTTCCTCATACATGGAGCTGCTGAGCACAGCCACAGATTACTGGACAGACTGATGAGAACAGCCTTTCCATTGTGCCTCCAACACTCACTTTTCTCTCCTTGTCTTTCGGGGTCATTTCCTACGTTTACCTCTCTCTGTCCCTCATTCTCAACAGACAATAATCCTGCCTTCCAACTAATCAAGAGAAACAGACTCATATTTATTCTTTCAAGGATTTTTCTGTGTTTTCATTTTTTAAATACAGTGCAGTTCCTCTCTGTATTCTCTCCCCAGAATTCTCATCTCGTAGCCCTGCCTATACTGCCTGCCTAGCTACTGGCCAATCCATGTTTTATTCATCAGCCAATAAGAGAAACATATATACAGAAAGACACCCCCCATCACTTGGGAGTAAATCATATATTCAAATGATGCAAAATATAAAAGCTATAAAACAGTAAAAATACATTTGTCTGTATATAAGTGTCTATAAAAGTATTCATGTCTCTCTGCCCTTCATTGTCTACCTAAGTTGATTTTCTCCATATCTAATTATCATTCACCCCTGCACAATATATTTATAATCATATAATTAGCTGCTTGTTTACTACCTGTCTCTGCCATTAGATTGACAGCTCCATGAGTTAAGGACCAAAACTCATTCATTAATGCAACTTATACATTATTGATACTGGTGTTGTACAGTATAGTTTGGATTTGAAATAGCTCCTATCCGCTCTTGTTTTGAAGGCTTTGTCCCTAATATAATAGTGTTCTGTGTTGGTAGGTGCATTTGGTAGGTGTTTGGATCATGAAGGCTCCCCTATTATCTATCAATATATTCATCCATTGATGGATTGATAGCTTAATGGGATATTGGGAACTGGTGGTAACTTTAGGAGATGGGACCTATCTAAATGAAAAGGCTCACTGGCTAAGTGCCCCTTGATGAGCTTGGACTCTGTTCCCCTTCCTATCTCTTTTCTTTCCTCCCTCTTTGTCTTTGCCCTTTCCCACACCATGAGGTAGGCAGATTTGTTGCACTATTTGCTCTCTGCCATGAAGCTCCCCCTTATCACAGACATAGAAACAATTGATCACTTAACCTTACCAAACATAACTTCTGTTAATCTTGATCTAAAATCTTTTCTTCTTTATTTTTGCCTCCTAATATTCCCACAAGATTGCTATGAATTAATCTTTTTGTACACTGTGAAGATGAGCTTTGCCAAGGTACCTTCGGATTGGTTTAATAAAAGGCTAAATGGCCAGTAGCTAGGCAGGAAGAAATTAGGTGGGAGAGCCAAAGAGGACACTAGGAAGAAGGGTAAAGTCATGGGGAGTTGCCAGCAAAATTCAGAGGAAGCAGGAGATGAACATGTCATGTTAGAAAAAGGTATTGCCATGTGGTAGAGTATAGATAAGAAATATGGGTTAATTTAAGATGTAAGATCTAGTTAGTAACAAGCCTAAGCTATCAGCTGAGCATATATAATTAATAGTAAATCTCTGTGTGGTTATTTGGGAGCTGACTGGTGGGACAGAGCTGACAGGTGGGATAGAAAAACTCTGCCTACACAAGGTTGTACAGTTATTTCCTCCCGACTTACGTTTTGGATGTTTCCCATCTGTTGTGTTATATTGTGGCTCCTTGAATGGACCTTCCTCTGACACTCCCTAAGTGTGGTCCCATTTACACCATCCATTTTTTGTCAGCTTGAAGCCATCGAAATCAGTGCTCCAAACCACCCAAAAGCACTTTGGGTGACCTCCGAAGGGGGAACTAATAGGCCATCCAACTTATCCCCCCCACCTCCTTTTTTTTGCCACTCTGGACATTGTTTCCTGGACTCAGAACTAAAACAGCTGGACTGCAGCCTTCTTTGCATCAGTTAACCTCTCTGTCTCACCAGATACCAGAGAAACTTAAAGCATTTTCAGACCGGTTTAACATCCTTCAGGACTAGTTCAATTCCTTAGCTGCTGCAGTACTCCAAAATTTAAAAAGACTAGATCTGACAGCTAAGGATGGGATTTGTGCCCTTCCCAATGAGCAAAGCTCCTTAGGCACAAGCAAATCCAACTGGTTTGAGACAGGGCCCAAAGACACTGAGAACAGACACACACACACACACACACACACACACACACACACACAAAACCAACTTGTCTCCTCCTATGTAAAGGCATTTGGTTCCCTCCCACTCTGCCTCCTCCCTTCCATCACTCCTTTTATGCTCCTTATTATGCTCAAACTCATATTTTGCCCCGTATTTTAAACGTTTTTCTCACTGAACATTCCCCCTATACCCAAACAAAAATGTTCCACATAAGCTTTCCCAATGGCTCTCATCCTTAACAGCTCCATCTGTCCCTGATACATCATCAAAAGGACCTTTTAGATGACATGGGCAACATCCATGTTTCTTATCTGCTCATTTACTTCAGTAGCAACTTAAAATGCTTTGGATGTACTAAAATGTATACTGTCATGCATTCACCAAAAAAGTGTCCTATACCATCGATATTGACATTATTCCGGAAAAATAGAGAAAAAGGAGACAAGAACACACACAGGTTTTATTCTAATGGAGGAAGAAGGCAGCAAGCTAAGAATGCTTTTTGCCTATGTTAAATGGTGTCTATGGTGGTTTGAAAGAGAAGGCCCTCCTAAGTCTCCCACAATTGAACACTTGGTTCCTGATTGGTGGCTGTTTGGGAGGATGAGGAAGTGTTACTGGAAGCAGGCTTTGAGGTTTCAAGACTTGGGCCCTTGGGCCATTTCCAGGCAGCTCTGCATCCTGCTTGTGGGTCAAGAGGTGAACTGTGAGCTGGTGTTCCATCTCTCCATCTTGTTTGTTTTGTCTGTGTGCAGGCTGCCATTCCCACTCTCCCACTGAGGCTCTGGTCCCTCTAGGATCCTAAACTCAACTAACAGATAAGTAAATAAGGCAGTGCCAGACGGAGAGACAAGGGGCTGCAACTTTAAAAGGGCTAGTTAGTTACTATGGGCCTCCAGAGATCTTGAGGAATGAGAACGCTCATCAGTCCTGCTGGGAAAGTTTCTGGTGTAAATGAGTAATCAGCACACAAGTTGGAGGTTCTTGTGAGTGAAGAAATAAAGGGAAGGGCATGAGTATTCCTAATGGGTTTATTGTAGATGTGAGGGTGAGCATAGCTAGAGGCAGACACCAATTAAGCCTGGCCATGTGAGGAGGGGGACAGAGAGCAAGAAAGGAACAGTCTACCAAAAGTGGTGGCCTGGGCTAAGAGACTGGCTTAGCCCAAATGGCTGTGTTTAACAGGAGCCAAAGAAGCTGGGGGGCTGGTAGGAAGCCCAGTAGTTGGGCTGATACCCAGTACCCAGAGTTCAGGGTAAGGTACTGGAGGTAGAGACTGGGGGATGCTGGGAGAACTTGGTGGCCAGCATCTGCCTCAGTTAGCCTTTTGTCTCCGTGTGAGACCTAACAGACAAGCACAGGAGATTAGAAATGAGAGGATGGACTTCCAGAACCTTAAACCTTTGAACTGACTTGATTATCAGCTGCGTTGAGAGAAAAGACAGTGGAAGTTCCGAGAGAATGTGCAGATAGTTCTATATTCACGGCAAAAGCGGAGGTTTCATAGACAACAACAACGGGGGCACTGAGTAAGGACAAAGAAACAGCAATTGGCGACTAAAACTTTACGTGGAAGCTATGAAGGGGCGCTAGTGTCCCAGTGCTAGATGTATTTTGCAGGGCAATTCACAAAAGTCTGCTGATGTAGAGAGTGCGAAGACTGCACCAGGATTTTCTGCTTCAGACAGAAGCATGACTGAAACAAGAGTATAAGGCGCAAGTTTGGTCTGGGAAATCAGGTCAGTCTGGAACATGTAGATAGCAAAAATGTTTAGCAGGAAAACAGGAGAATAAAAGAAACCTGAGCTCTTTGAAATATCTTGAAGGAACGGAAAAGTCGGATTTTTTTTTTTTTATCTTGTTTTGGGGGCACTGTGTCCATTCCAAAAGAGACCAGAGCTTTCTCGCTCTCCTGGGCTTTGCTTTTTCTGCTCTTCTCTGGCTTCCAAGCAGTGCTGCGCTGACCCCTCCCTCCACCTGTTGATGGACTGTGACACACAGCTTCCTAATACTCCCCACTGCGAGCAAGCAACACACCAGCGAACCCTCGCGGCGCATAGGCTGCGGGGCTCCCCAAGCCTCTGCGGAGGTGCGCCCACTTCCCGGTTCTGGGGTAAGGCGAGCCGGTCGCGAACCGGGCCCGGATAGAGGATGGCAGCAAGGTCGTGGCCTGAGATCAGCCTTCCTCGCCCGGTCGCCCAACCTACTTCCTCTCTGACGTTCCTCGCTTCCTGCACAAGGCGACCGGCGCCCCGCCACGGTCCCGCGAGGACTCTGGGGGGGAGGTTTGGACGCGCGGGGCCACGATGCGACTTCAGACGGTCAGCGACAAGGTAATGAGCTTTCCAGGGTGCCAGATCCATGCAGTACAGCAGAGCGAGTGCTCACAGAGGTTGAGAGCGTAGGGGCGGGGTCAACCCGGAAGGCCACGCCTCCCCTCCCCGCCCTCTACTGCTCTAGGTGCCTACAGGCGGCTCTCCATCAAGGGAGGAACGACGCAAGTGGGACACTGTCCCTTTAAAAGTCCCTGTAGGAGGCTGGGCATGCGAAGGCTTCCGGGAATGCGCACTTTGTCACACGGGAGGACCGCCTTCTCTTGGAAGCGAGGTTGAGCAGGTTAGTGTAGTGGGATGTTGGGTCACGCGTGGGTCTGAGAGTGGCGGACGTGGAAGATCCGAAGCCGGTGGCCCCGAGAAGGGCGACATGGCGCGAGGCCTGGAAGGGGGAGGAAGGCGTGGCGGAAGCCGCGGGAGCAGGGTGGCTGGTGTGTGTATAGGGGGTGAGGATCTCAGGGAGCCAGCCTCCAGCCAGCCCTTCTCCTGGGCTGGATCCCTCCGCACCCTCGGCTCGCCCTGAGGAGCAGCGGAGGAGCTCCTGCCAGCCTAGCCCACACGCTGCGCTTCGCTTGCCTTTGCATTCCACCGCTTTACTAGCTGCTGGAATGCCTTAATCTCCCCGCTGTCCCCATGCCTAGCCTAGAAAGCCTTCCTATGATCTTTCCTTTCCTAGAGTTCTTAAGGCCTGTGGACCCCTGACTTCAGAATTCCATCAGTCGTTTAAGAAACCTCCACAAAGCAGATTCCAACTTTTGACAGAGCGTTCTGTATCTTTCATAGCATGACTTCAGCTGTCTTTCCCAAAACTGTATCACCCTACTCCCTCTTCCCAATGCTGTACAGGGCTTTCCCTCTCCCACATATTGTCCGTTTTGTTTGTACTTGCATGTGGTATTTCTGCCCCACTTCCGTCTCTTGAACTATTTTCAAAGACTTAAGTAGCAACTTATTATACCATTCCTGGTTATCACAAACAGAAGCTAACACTTCCTTCTTCATCACTATTACAGCTCTTACTGTGCTCTGGTTGTTTTTGGCCAACAACCAATATTAATTGCAGACTTGGTATGGTCATCTTTCATGTGCTTGGTGCTGTTGTAAATGTGGGCTGATCAGTACTGAATAAGGTACAGTTCCTGCTCATTTGGAACCTACACTAAGTTGAAGAAGATGGACAATAAATAATAAAACATTTTCCATACAGAAAATTAAGTCTGGTTTTTGTGAAAGAAAATGGTGTACAGGTTCCCATAGATAAGGTTATTGGTCAGTGAAAAAAACTTCTGAGAAAGTGACTCTGAAAAGATTGAGCAGGAAGTTACTACAAAGGTAGTGAGGAGAGCCATTGTAACTGTGGTTTAGAGGGTAATGGGATAAAGGTACATCATACTGCAGAATAGACAGGATGCAGAATCTTGGGGCATTTAGTTTAGACTTTGTTGTAAAGGCAATATTAGGGTTCTAAACACTTGTGGTATGGCTTACCTTTTAATACAGTATTTTGGGTGGTACGCAGAGTAGATAAAAGTTGACTAAACAGAAAGACTAAAAAGCCTGCCATAAATGCCTAAGAATTTGGAAGCTGGAACTGTTAAGAATGGTAAAATAGGTCTGATCAGTGTCTTTGGGCTTTTTATTGAAACAAACACTACAACAATGGCAATTTATAAGGAAAACATTAAGGGGATTCAATTACAGTTTCAGTCCATTATCATCATGGCCAGGCGCATGGTGGCATGCAGTCAGATGTGTTGCTGGAGCAGCTGAGAGCTACTGGAGCAGCAATAGGAAGTCCAACAGTCACACTGAGGAAACTGGAGCAAGAGACCTCAAAGCCCGCCCCCACAGAGACACACTTCCTCCAACAAGGCCACACCCCCTAATACTGCCACTCACTTTGGAGGCCAGTTTCTTTCAAACCACCACAATTAGGAAACCAGATTTCTATAGGTGGTGAAGTTTTTGGTGATGAGAAAGTAAGACTGATCATAAGAGTAGATGGCTGGAATGGAGTGGGGCCTGAGGCTGAGGAAGAGAGTGAGGGAGTGTGGGATGGAGCTGGAAACATGATCCACATGGTGACTGAGAGGCTCTGCTCCAGAGGATGGAAGCCTCTGTGAAGGAGTTATCAGGGAAGATATGGGAAGATGGTAAGGCCAGGGATGAGGTCTGCGAAGAAAAAAAAAATGTGGCCCCCCCCCCCCCAAGATGAGGAAGGAAGAAGACAGATCTGTAGGATTTGATTAGGGCAATCAGAGCATGGAATGCAGGGGACTGGAGGGAATTTAAAAAGTAAGGAAAATCAATGTTAAATGGTGATAGAATTCACTGTGGTTTGTACATGGCCTAATGGGAAGGACCGAGAAGGGCGGAGGTTAAATCATTTTGATCAAGATGACAAAGTGCTTGTAAAGTATGAGAACTATGAGAGCCAAGTGGTGAAGCTGCTTCCCAGCTCCGTGTGATATGTGACTGGGGCAGGGGCAGGGGCAGGGTAGAATTGCTCTTGTGTCCAGCCCCAAGAAAACTCTATAAGGGTTTCTTTACTCGGCTGCCAGCGACTGGGTAGAAATTTCCTCTTATCAGCTTGAGAATTTTGTATCTTTTCTGTAGGGAATTTAGAGGACGCTGAAGGACCAGGATGGACATAAACCTGCCTCTAAGTGTACAGAGAACCTGTTGCACCCATTTACTGCAGACCTTTCTGTCTTACTCTTCCTCGTGATCTAACTTCCAGTATATTGAAAAACCACGACAGTGTCTCTGGAGTTAGATCCAGGAGATCGTGAGGCTCCCGGGACGACACAACAGACCTATTTTCTTCTTTCTTTTGTGTGGGCCTAAAGCTGCTACTTTTCAGGTGAAATGGACATTTACCCACTTTACATATTGTATATATTTTTTATTTAAACCTTTTAAATATGCTTATTTATTTTGTTATGCATGTTTTGTGTGTATGTACGCATGTGAACCACAGGTGTGCCTAGGACAGCAGAGGTCAGAAAACGGCAACAGATCCCCTGTCACAGGAGTTACTGATGGCTGTGAGCTGCCCTGCTGAGTACTGAGCTGGTGTCCTCTGCAAAAACAAGTTTGATTGACAGCTAAGCCATTTCTCCAGTTTAAAATTGAGCCATTTTAATTCTGCCTAATAGAAACTTGGAATGAATGGAAAAATCAAGCCACTACTTCGGTTACAGATAGTTGGCCTGTTAACTCTGCTTGCTAAATGAAAGTAGGTACGCACATATATCCATAGATAAGTTATGAGTGTGTTTTAGGGAACATAGAATTAAGAGGAAGACAACTGAATGGATCTTGCAAGCAAATTTCATTCTTACCTGTAAGTTTTTCTGGTAGCTGACCGTGTTATCTCTTTTGTAGGTACTGTTTAGAATGGAAGAGGACACGGATGGCGGAATCAGGTTTAGTTCCTTATGTTTCATTAATGATCATGTTGGATTTCAAGGCACTATAAAAACCTCCCCAAGTGACTTCATCGTCACTGAGATTGATGAACAGGGACAATTAGTCAGCAAGACCATTGATGAATCTTGTTACGAAATTAGTAAAACACACTCCGAGCCAAGTCATCTGGTCAAAAAGCCAAAGCTAAATATTCAAGATGTGTCCCTATACCGTGAAGGTGATGAAGAACCTGCTAACTTGACTGGGTACTCTGATGGTGATGAGAGTCATCATTCTGGCTCAGAAGACAGTGTCAATGGTGTGACTTCTCAATGTGAAAAAGAAAACGCTGACTTATTAAGTTCACTTTTAGATGGAAAAACTCATACATTGCTGGAACAGTTTGCCTGTGACATCAAAGGGATGTGGAATTCAAAAACCGAGTTAATTGAACCATCTCTGGAACTCTCTCTAGGTAGGATCCTTGACAAAAGCCAAAGGGCTGTTTTACACAGTGCTGTTAGGCAGACATTTCCTTTTTTGATAACTGTAGGAAAAAGCAGTGAAGTCATTGTAAAACCAAATCCTGAGTATAAAGAACTCTGCCATTTGGTATCTGAAGAAGAAGCACTTGGTTTTTTCAAATATTTGGATGCAAAGAAAGAAAATACCAAGTTTACCTTTAAACCAGACACAAATAAGGATCACAGGAAAGCCGTGCACCATTTCCTCAACAAGAAGTTTGGAAACCTTGTGGAGACCAAGTCTTTTACTGAGCTGGATCACAGTGCTGGAAATGCAAACACAGCCATAACTGTCAGGTTCCGGGAGAAAGCACATAGACATGGAAAGAGAGCTCGTCTTGAGTGCGAGAGAAGAAAAGCTGTATATACAGGTAATTTTGTAAATCATCATTTTCTTGTGTAAAAATTATGAAAGGTGAGTAATTTGGATGGATAGGACTGGTTATAGAGCTAATGTAAAAAATATATGGACTGATTATTTGTGTTACAGAGCCTCTGGTCCAAGTAAGAGGTTTGAATTTGGAGTGATGTGGGTTTGATTTTAAATTGCATTTATTCGCTATGACAGGGGTGAAATTTCTTATGCATTGCCCAAGATTGAACTAAAGACCTTGTGCGTGCAAGGCCAGGCCTTTAACCCTGGGCTACACCCTTAGCTGTGGAGTTTCTTGAGGCATGATCACATGTAGCAGAGGCTGATCCCAAACTTAAGCTTCTTGGGTGCTGGGACTGCAGGCATGTTTAAACCCTTTGGACTTAGGAAATATTTCATATATTTAAAGCTTAGCATCCACAAATGTAAACATGAGAAAAGCCATACTATGGATAAGTTCATCTATTTTAAAGGAAAAGTACATATAGGCTTACATATAGGATAAGAACTGCTGCCCTTATGGTTTAAGTAGCTTTAGGGCTTCTAACTTTTTCTATTAGTTGAAATAGTATCTGGTTTGGGATAATGAGTCAAGACATGGGAATATTTTCATATATTGAATCTAAATTAATTTTACTGAAGTTGAATTAATGGTTCACCAAGAGGACTATGTGAAGATATCCGTGTCCAAAAACAGAAAGAGATTTTGCTTATGATACCTTTTATAAGAACCAAACTAGCTCATGTTAAAATTTCCTCTGCCTCCATGCATGCATGCACACATATCTGTGTATTTATGTAGTAAATTTACTATCGTTTATAAGTGTATGACAATTATGGTAAGATATATAGCATGTAGAATTTACCATTTTATCCATTCTTGAGGATTTCTTTGTGAGCCTAGCCTTTAATGGCCGATCTGACTTTTCAGCCCACCATTTTAGCTATTTTTGTGGTGGGGGATTCAAGACAGGGTTTCTCTTGGCTTTGGAGGCTGTCCTGGAACTAGCTTTGTAGACCAAGCTGGCCTAGAACTCACAGAGATCTGCCTACCTCTGCCTCCCAAGTGCTGGGATTAAAGGGATGCTCCACCACCGCCTGGCTCTATTTTAGCTGTTCTTAAGTTTACATTTTAATGGAATGAAGGACATTTGCATTATTGTGCTACCATTAATTTCCTAAGTCTTATCATTTTCTTATTCTGGCATTAATATCAATTGGATAACCATATCTTACTTTCAGTTCCCAGCAACCATCATTTTGCTTAGTTTTTATGATTGACAACTACTAGTAGAGACAATGACGTAATGCTTTGTAAAGTAAGCATAGCCCTTACTATGGAACATTCAGCCTTGGAACCTAAAAAGCATTTGAGGCAGGACGGCTATTATTGAGATTGACTAGAAATGTGACAAATCAGGAGTCTGTGTGTTGAAATTTAGGATATATGAGTGAAAATGGTCCCTGTGGAAACTGGAAGGTAGACCTATGTCCCAGGAAAAGGATGTGAATTTTGAATGCACACCTTTAACAAGGCAACACTGACAGTTGAGATCTGTGGTGCTAGTTTTATGATTTCTTTAAAACACACTTCACTTCAGATTCATTATCCTAACCTGTTAGTTTGTGAAGAATGTAATTACAGATGGCATCTTCTTTTTGTTCTTATTTTGTTTCAGCTTTTACCCTACAAAAGGAAAACCTGGAGATGTTTGAAGCAGTTGGATTTTTAGCCGTCAAGCTTGGGGTCATACCTTCAGATTTCAGTTATGCGGGCCTTAAAGACAAGAAAGCAGTCACCTATCAGTCGATGGTTGTCAAAAAAGTGACTCCACAGAGGTAATACAGTATTGCTTTCTAGTAAAGTATAAAGTTAAAATGCAAAAGAAAATGCCAGCTTATCTTTACAATCAATATTAACTAACTGATTATATACCGAACAGCATGTTCTGCATTAATAAAATAATTGTCTTCAGTGTATGCATAGATGTGCTTTGGATATATATGAAGTTTGGGGCTGATGAGATGGCTCAGGGGTTAAAAGCACTTCCTGTTCTTCCAGATGCCCTAGGTTTGGTTCCCAGCACCCATGATGGGAGCCTCACAACTGTCTGTAGTACACCCCAAGGGATCCAGTGTCCTCTGCTGGCCTTTCCTGGTCTCCTTTCACAAGATACACACACACACACACACACACACACACACACACCCATGATGGGAGCCTCACAACTGTCTGTAGTACACCCCAAGGGATCCAGTGTCCTCTGCTGGCCTTTCCTGGTCTCCTTTCACAAGATACACACACACACGCACACACACACACACACACACACACACACACACACACCCCAAAGAAAAAAACTTACCGAAAATAGGAAATTTTGCCTAGAAAACTGATAAGTGGTAGATTTTAAATTGTCTGAATTACACACACACACACACACACCCCAAAGAAAAAAACTTACCGAAAATAGGAAATTTTGCCTAGAAAACTGATAAGTGGTAGATTTTAAATTGTCTGAATTGTTTATAAACATCTTGTACTATGTTCAATATGCACTTGACTTCAGAAAAGCATAATGGAAGACATAAAATGTATAAATATTTTTAATTATTATAGTGCTTTTATCATAAGCCGTTACATTTAAAATACATTCTTATTTAAATACAATGTATAGGACTCAAATTTTACCTCTCAGTGCAATGAAGTTTTATCTATCAATAATTTTGCCATTTTAAAAGAAATAACATATACTTCAGATTTAGAAAATAGAAAAGGATCAGTTGATGAATGCCTCCACTGCTGAGAAATAACTTCAGTAAACACTTGGTTTTCAAGATGTTTTTCAGAGACACGAAAATCATGTTACCTCTGTAATTTATATATTTGTAATAAAATAGTATGAGAGTTTTTGCTGAGAGAGTTTCAAAATAATTTTTGTAAAAGACTTAACTGGTCCCAGGACAGTTAGGACTATTTTACAGAGAAATCCTGAAAAACAAACAAACCAAAAAAAAACCCCCAAAAAACAAAAACAAAAAAAAGAACCCCCCCCAAAAAACCAAAAAACAAGCCCAAAACACAAACAAACAAACAAACAAAAAACCAAAAAACAGATTTTATCCAGTTTTTCACTGTAAATGATATTCTTGTACTTTAGTCTGCAACTTTTGGATGCTTTCCTTAAACTTGCCCAAGCTGAGTCATGCATAAGAATTCCTCTTAATTGGATGTAATATTTTAGTAGTTAGCTATAAACTAAGCACACATATTTGTAAGGAGATTCTTTTAAGACCTATATAAAGTCTGTTTTTGTGGTCTGAATGACAGGAATTTAGATATCACACTGTTAAGACAAAGGTTAATTTTTTCACAATGAAAGGCAATAAATATTATTAGTTCCCAGGAAAGGAAGAAAAAATGACCTTGATTTGGTCTATGGGTGTGGGGAATTCAAGTACCCTTAAGTAATAGTAGGTCTATAAATCAAGAAATTATTTAGAGGGACAACAAGTAGTCTACCAAGTAAAATAGACAATTTTTATAAGAACTAATATATATATATAAACTGACATTGTGACATTGGCTTATTTTTTTTTTTTTTTAAACATGACCATGAAATCTGTTTTTTTTTTTTTTAAAGTTGGCAGAAAACTGAACATTTGAGTAAGGAAGTGTGCAGAGCAGCATTGCTGATGCCGATGGGTTCTCGTCTTTTCAGTGATATTGGAAGAGACACTGAGAAGGAAAGATCATTGGGAGGCTCTGCCCCTGGAGCTGAGGAGAAGGCAGATGATAGATAAACCTGCTCATGTTGCCAAACTAATCTGCTGAGTCTAGTCCTGTAACAATGAATATTTAGAGTATATTCACTAAAGTTAACGTAAAATTTCACCAAAACATTATACACATGTATTTAATGTACATGGATGTTTTGCCTGCATGTATGTCTATATGTCACTTGGTACCTGTAAAAGCCAGAAGAGGGTATTGGAACTCCTGTAACTGGGTACTAGGAATTGAACCTGGTAGTCTTAACCACTGAGCCATCTTTCCAGCCTCCCATCATACTTATATTTTGAAAAGAGTTCCCTGGCAACTATCATTTTAAAGCTTGTAAATATATAATTTTTTTTAGATCAAGATTTAACTGATTATATGATTTATCACTTCTAGGTTGAAAAATATTGAGGAAGAAATTAAAAAGAAGAGAATGAATGTGTTTAATATTCGATCTGTAGGTGATTCTCTCAGACTTGGTCAGCTCAAAGGAAATCACTTTGAAATTGTCATCAGAAATCTAAAAACTCAAACAAATGATTCTGCAAGCCTGAGTGAGAGGATTTTGGAGGCAATAGAGAATGTTAAGGTAAGAAAACACAATTTTGAAATTGCATTACAGGAAAATCTATAATCCTCTCAGATTAAAAAAAGATTGTTTTTGTAATGTGTATATATCTAATTAATTTCTAAAATGATAATTAAGTGTTGGCTTATTTTGCCTTCAAGATGCTTCATATTGAAACAAAACATAACATAAATAAAAAGAGACTGTTGTAGAATATTACTTTATGTAAAGATGTGTTACATTTATTTTTGTTGCAGAATATTACCATGTAAAGGTATGTTACATTTGTTTATATGGCACTTGTTTAACTATGTAAAGATGTGTGACCTTTGTTTCACCTTGCTTATCTTATTGGTCTAATTTAAGACTGAATGACCAAGAGCTAGTCAGAATATTGATAAGTGGGACTGGCGAAGGTTTAATGTGCACCCTATCCCAGTACACCCCACCTCATTTGGCTTAACTCTTTAAGTCACATGTACTAGGGACCCCTTCCTGTTGTGAATGGAAGGCTATTTTAAAGCTTTGGTCTTCATTGGTCCCATGTAGTAAATTTTGGGTTAGTTTGGTTTTCTCAGACAGGGTCTCCCAGCCTAGGTGGGCCTTGGCTCTCAGTACCTCCCTTCCTCTCCTCTTTACACCATTGTCCCTGAGGGTTTACTGGCTGATTTGTATCTATCCTATTCTCCTTCCAGTGTATAACTGTTTAGCATTTCTTACACCATTTGGCCTCTCTGTATTATTGGTAATTATCAGATTTGTCAATTAAATATGAAGAGAAATGTTTGATTATACTTTGGCATACTATATTTATGAAGTTCTAATTTATTATATTCTCTTATGTTCATAGACTAAAGGTTTTGTGAATTACTATGGACCACAGAGGTTTGGGAAAGGAAGGAAAATTCAAACAGACCAAATCGGATTGGCTTTACTGAAGAATGAAATGGTATGAGTTTTCAAAACGATAACCTTAACTCTTATACTTACTGCATAAGCTCATTGCATATCTAATTGCGGCATATAACTGCATGTGTGTGCACGTGCATACACTCTCATACACACCATGCATCCTATTTTTTATTTTTCCTATGAAAGCCAATTTTATCTTTATTTTTTTTTAAACTTTTAAAAAATTTTTATATACCAATCCCTGTTCCCCCTTCCTCTCCTCTTCTTGCTCCATCCGCCTCCCCACCCCGTCCATTCCTCAGAGAGGGTGAGGCCTCCCATAGGGAGTCAATAGAGTCTGTCACATCTCAACATACAGCTGAGGCAGGAGGAAGGCTCTCCCCCTGTATCTAGGCTGAGCAAAGTATTCCCCTGCAGGGAATGGGCTCCCAAAAGCCAGTTCCCATACGTCATGTTTTATATCATATGGCAGCTACCATATTCTTGGATTCACATTATAAGAAAGCCAACTATATTCAATGGCCTTGTGTTTAACTTTTATTTGAAATGATATAAATTTGACCAGTGATCCTTGACTCTATAACTGAATAAAAGATCCACTGGTAGAGTAACCTGCATTTCCACAAACTAGGCAAAGTGATGGTGATGGGCCTTTAGCTTTGCTGAGTTCTGCTCATATAACCAGACCTGGTACATGTAGGGGAGAACTGCATGTAGGTACATGTAGGAGAGAGGCTAGCATGAGAGATAAGCTAGGGGTCAGTTCCTGTAGCTGGCATGCCACATCTCCTTTCTTTGCTTAAAGCACCCCTCCCTAATCTTTACTTTTTGTATCTTAAATGTCCACTGATTTGTGATCTGGGACTTCTCATCTTGTTCTGTTATGATTATCTTGTTGAAATGGCTCAGTCTTTTCCAGTAGGTAGTGCTCTATCTGTCACATCCCACACAGTCCTCAGCATGTAATAGAGACAAACATTTGCTTGGCTGTTGTCTTAGTTTGCTTCTTGTAGCTATAATAATACTCCATGACAAAAAGCAACCTGGGAAAGAAAGGGTTGATTTGGCAAACAGGTTACAGTCCATTATCAGAGGAAGCTAATGCAGGAACTGGAGGCAGGGACCAAACAGAGTTCATGGAGGAGTGCTGCTTACTGACTTGCTCCCATGGCTTGCTTGGCTTGCTTTTTGTTTGTGTGTTTGTTTTTAATATAATAGGGTCCACCTGCCCACAATGAGATGGGCTCTCCCATATCAATCATTAATCAAGAAGATGCTCTATAAACTTGCCCACAGACCAATCTGATGGGGACATTTTCTTAACTGGCCTCCTTCTTCCCAAGTGACCTTGGCATATATCAAGTTGACAGAAAACCAACCGCCACAGATGTATTAACTTTTTATGAATATTTGTTTGGATGAATACTGTAGAAGATGATGAAATGGAAATTGGGATGAATGAATTATTTTAAGTTGCTTCTATACTATGAACTACATACTCAGAAATAAGTCCCAGTGATAAAATAACACAGATTAAGTGGATACCTTTTTTAAATTAGAAAAGAAACATATGTGTATGTTTTAAAATAAACTACTAAAATGTTCAGTAAAATATTAAAGTGGCTGCTTTATTGTATTTTGCCAGTGTGGCGGTCAGAGGACATCTTGCCAAAATAGTCTCTCTCTTCCCACCATGTGGGTCCTGAAGACTGAACTCAGATCATCAGGCGTGGTGGCAAGCAAACTCCTTTATATACCAACTCATCACTTTACACTCCTGCTTATATCTCAGCTGAATAAAGAATGATGGGAATGCAATGCTTGAGGAAGGGCCTTTTCCAGGATAATGTTTTGTTGTAGTTACTTTAAGTTTGTATGAGAGGGTTATCTCTATATTTGAAACCAGTTAAGTGTTGAAACCTTAAGGAAGAACTTGAAGCAATGTTTTCTGCCCTTTCCAGGTGCCCAAGAATTTGCATATTTTTAAATAAGTAATTTGCCATGTTTTAAAACCTGTTTACTTGGTTAATTTTTCAAGGTAAGGGCCATAAAATTATTTCTTACTCCAGAAGACATGGATGATCCTGTAAATAAAGCAAAGAAATACTTTCTTCAAACTGGTATGTAAGTTTCTTTACTAATCTATAGTAATATAGACACAGAAAAAACCAAACAAACAAATAAACAAACAAAACCCAAAAAACCCTAAAACCACCCTGCATGGGCTTTTCCTTAAGACATAGCGGAAGCAGCTGGGAGACTGGTAGGCTGAACAAACAATAGGTAGTAGTTTGCAGTTTGAATAATGTGGATGCCTGACACATGTACTTCATTTTGGGCTGCTTGCTTGGACTTTTGTCTATCCTAACTGTACTTTGGGGATAAGGAGAGGCAGGAAGTCTTTTCTTAGTTTTCCTGCACTGAAGTCCTATAGGAGGAGGTCTGTTCCACACTGCTGCTGATGGTAGTAGGGCCACAGCAAGCAGCAAAACCTCCAGCTGAGTGAAGTTCATCTGTGATATCAAGTCCTTTCGGGATTGTTTCTGAAGGGCTGCCATGGATTCCTGACTCCTCTTTGATGTGGATGTATATGTATGACGTCGTTTGCAGGTACACTAAAGAAACACGATTTTGATTGTGAGTGTGATGGCAGATAAGCTGTGGCTTTGCTGTCCATGTATGATTTGTTTCTCTTGTGGAGTCTGAGGAGAAAATCCCCATGTCAGTGATTCCAAAGCCTTAGTGCACTCAGCAAACACCCACAACCTTTATTAAATACCAGTTACAAGGTCCTCCCTGAGTAAGCATCACTGGAGCTCAGCACTACATGTTTTAAAACCCATTAGCCAGGATAGAGATTGCCACGGCTTCTTCATCTGACAGTCTACTCTGTATCCATAACAGTTCTTCAGAAACTCTGAGGCCCCTCCAGCTTACCAGCTTATTTAGTCCCTGGTGATTGGTTCTTTTTGTTGGGCAGTCTTCTGAATTAGATTAACTCTGTTCTGAGGAAAGGGGTCTGGTCTGGCCAGCTGTTCCTAATGCTAGGCTTGCTTGTTCTTATTTTTCAAAGAAAATAAAAGTTAAAAACAAAACAAAACAAGCAAGCTTCTAAAAGTATAACTGGGTTAAGCAGTAGTGTTCAGTGTGCCCACAAAATGATTGCCTCCCACTCAGACTGCTTGAAAAAGGCATCCCCCAAGTAGCTTTGCAGTGGGGGAGCCTACCAGCTGATTTGTTCTCCATTTCAGAGGACGCCAAAGGCACGCTCTCACTGATGCCGGAGTTCCGAATTCGAGAGCGGGCCCTGCTGGAGTCACTGCATCGCTTTGGTATGACAGAGGAAGGCTGCATCCAGGCCTGGTTCTCTTTTCCTCATTCCATGCGCATATTCTACATCCATGCCTACAGCAGCAAGATTTGGAATGAGGCAGCATCTTATAGGCTTGCAGCCTATGGGTCCAGAGTGGTGGAGGGGGACCTGATCTGCTTGGATGAAGACATTGACGAGCATATCTCAAGCAGTAAAGTGAGTGTCCATCCATCCAAGAGGTGACTTGCCACACCAGAGACAGTAATTGCAAGACATTTGGGTTTGGAAACACTTCTGTTTGCTTTATCAATAAAAACTGGGAATCAGATATCAGGGTAAGAACCTGCATGGTCAGAGAAGCAGCAGAGCAGCCACCGATGACCTATTTCCTTGGTTCCTCATCCAAAAGGCTGAGATCCTCTCTAAGCCCCTCCTTACTCTTGTCTCCTATCTGTCCTCAGTCTTCCAAAACCTCTATGGTTAATTTTGGTCAGTTAGTGGCTAGCTCTGCCCTCTGACTCCAAGCAAGCGTAATTATTATGTTAAGATATCACACAACAATCTCTGACTGTGCTTTTCTAACGGCTGAGAATCACCCCATGTTGCTAAGTGAAGAAATAGTGGTACAGAATGAAAGGTGGTAAAGCCTCCTCTAAAGAGCACAGTCTCAAAAACAAAGAAACCTGTACGTGTAATGCATTGGGACCTGTTAGGCTGCCCTCTTAAAAATAAGAATCAAACCACGCAGAGCTGGGGTATCTGCGTGCCATCCCTAGCTTCCCTGCTGTCCAGCATGTGTTCTTTCTCTCTGCTTTCCCCAAATGCCTGCAGAAAGTGACTTTTATTTATGTATAACACCAAGGAAAGACAGGTGTAAGAGATGTACAGATTAAAAGAGGAAAAAGGAAAGTTCAGTAATATGAGGACATGGGATGCTATGTTTCTTTCCTATACATGTGGTTTTATGTAGATGTCATTTTTATGACATTTATATTAATGAAGTTATAGTATGACTATTTTATGAAACTTTGTTTTGCGTTTCTTTCCTGTCCACCTGGCATTTTTCTCTCAATAGGTTTGAACTAATTAGTGAAGCTGAATTCTGTGAGTCTTATGAGAGTTCACATAATAGTGTGAAACAAAAGGAACAAAGAGTTTTTCTTTAATATTATCTTAAGTCAATTTTAGCAGGGTTAAAACCAAGGACAAGACCCTGAGTGGTGCTTCACGCTATAAGTGGCAAAACAGTTGGATTTTAGGGGAGTAAAGGATTTCAGAGGTCCAGTCTTTGAACTCCGTTCTATAGGAGTGAGAACTAAGGCTGAGATGGGAAAGGGAAAATTCAGAAAAATCTATGTAATGTATGTAGAAAGACCCAGGAGTGCAAGTGGGTCTCCTCTGGAGGAACCTGAAGGTAGACCTAGGAATTGGCTAGTAAGAGGTACATCATGGCCCAGCCCTTCAAACTAGAGGGAAGGTAGACTAAGCTCTGCTTAAAGAAAGCTTTCCCTAGATCAATGATGAACTCCAGATGTATGAATTAAGGCTGTTTGGTTTCAGGTAATAGAAATCTCCCTCAAACTAATTAAGAGAAAATCCAGCAGGAGTTTATTGGCCCTGTGTCTGAAAACTCATGGTTTATTCAGGCACATCTGCGTCTCCAAGCCTGTCCTCTGCAAGAGCAGTACTCCCAACAGCTGAGCATTTGTCCAGCTGAGGGTTGTGTATTCTGTGACGTTGTGGAGCAAAGTTAATTTACACTTAAATCACACACTGACTTATTTCCCTTTTGGCTTCAGATACCTACTACTGTCCTCTGAAATAAATATCCATAAACCCCATGGCTAAATAAAAATATCACTGTGTTTCCTGGGGACAGGGACAGTTGAAGGTAGGGGCTGGCTATACAGAAGCAGACATTCGGTTTGGCATCATTTGTTGGTGACTGAGGAAAGTGTCACCTGTTTGCCAGCTTCAGTGGTACATGGGTAAAGAAGAAAGAATTGGTCTAATTTTTAATGTAGTGGGCTCAAGGAGACAAGTTATTGTAAAAAGATTGTGCTTGAACATGTGTATATTCAGTGTAGGAATCAGAGTTAGGAAACACTGAGGTAATGTGAACACTTTGAAAATACTCATTCCCATTGTATTTTATGAAACTAGGTTCACCTGGTAACCAAAGAAGAGGAATCAGCTAACACTTATGCAATACACCAGGTAAGTTTGGTTAAAAGTTACCCCCACGTAGATTTGAATAAGCATTGTCCCCTAAAGACAAATCCTCCCTTCCTAGAGAACTTTTAAATTGTTTATTATATATCCTAATAATTTATACTTCTGTAATTCAGTTATGCTTCTATTAAACTTATTATGCTATAATCTAAACCCTAATAATTTAATTTATCCTTGCTTTTGATAAATATATATAATAATGGACACTGGAAAATTCAATATTAAGTTAGAATAGTTTCATGTCTCTCTCAGATTTCCCGTTGCTCACATCTCCCTCCAATGTTTCCCCAGTGTTTGACCCCCCACATTAATCCTATTTCCAGGGTTGTATTGATCCTATTTCATTGGAATCACTGATTTATTTCTATCATTGTGATTTTATGTTTAAAAAAATGTTACATAAATAGATTCACATATTGTATATGTAGATTTTTCTATATTCTACCTTCTTAGACTGGGTTGTGATCCCAAGACTGAGTATGGGGGTTGTGAAAAATATTTGTAGTGATACAAGATATCTGAATGCATAGTGACAGAAAATTAATTGAAAATTAAATGCATAATGGATGCAAGGTATTTCTAGAAGAATTCACCAGTGTTGTGTCATGTGACTTCACTAAAGACTTGGTTCTGTGTAGCAACACACACACTCACACACACACTTTGCCCTGTGTGTACCATCCCGCTCAGCATTGTGGCTGATAATGGTGATGATGGTGGTGATGATGATGAATGATGATGATTGATGATGATTTATGATGGTGATGATGATGGTGATTGATGATAGTGATTGATGATGATGATGATTGATGATAGTGATTGATGATGATGGTGATTGATGATGGTGATTGATGATGATTGTGGTGATTGATGATGATTGATGATGGTGATTGATGATGGTGATGATGATGATGATGATGATGATGATTGATGGTGATGATGATGGTGATTGATGATGGTGATTGATGATGATTAATGATGGTGATGATTGATGATGGTGATGATGATGAGAGATGATGGTGATGATTAATGATGATGATGACGATTGATGATAGTGATGGTGGTGATGGTGATTGATGATTAATGATGATTGACGATGGTGATTGATGATGATTAATGATGGTGATGATTGATGATGGTGATGATGATTGATGATTGATGATAGTGATGGTGATGATGGTGATGCCTGAAACACCTCAGATCAGATTCCACACTATTAAATATTAGTAATTGTAGCTCTTACTGTACATACAAAGTTTTCTATTCTTAAAAACAAAACAAAACAAAACAAAAATCCTCAATGGCTTTCTTCTGGAAAGCAAAGACTTAATATTTTCCTGTCATCATTCATCAGCATGTGAATATTAACTTAGTATATGCTTGGGCTGTATTGTGTTTGAATACTTGATTTTAAAAATTGCTGTTTTGGTTGCTGACCTGAGTGTCATAAAAAAGATAGTTAAATGAGTTTTGACTCAGGATTAGGACAGAATTTCCAACATTTTATGAAAAGGCTCTAAATATACTTCTGCTATTTTGTGCCATGTGTTTATGTGAAGCGGAACTCTTAGCGCCAAGAATTACAAAATCCAAATGTCTGTCAACAATGAAAAACATTGAAAATGCTTTATATCCTACGGTTTCAAATATCTAGGTAATGTTTAGTGTTTAATATGAGAATAAACAGCATATCATCTCATTGGTATGCAAGTTTGCTTTAATAATTTAATGACAAGTAAATTGTCTTTCATGAATGACAGAAATATATGTATAACAGAGAATCATCTTGGAATAAATCTTTTATGATTTAATCTTAATGTCAGTGTTTGGCTTTTATACCAACTTTATAGAGTATATGCTTAGAATTGTATACATCTTTCTTAGATAATATGGGTCACAAGCAAATCAAGTTTCTGAAGCCCAGGCTGTAGCCCAGGCTGGATTCCAACTCATACCCCTGCCTCAGCCTTCCCTGTCTGGCTTCTTTGAGATTCATTTATGTATTTGAGGATTCTGCCCGTTTTTCTAAATGCCTTTTACTATTCAAGCATACTATCTCACGTTAAGCAAAGGAGAAGACCTCTAAGGATCATAAGGATCACAGATTTACTCATGCACATACAGCTGAAAAAATTAAAATATTTCCTGTTGGTTGATTACTTTGTTTTTATTAAAAGGAACTTCAGATTGTTACCCCAAAATAGCAGTGGCTAGCAGTAGAGACAGTTTTGTAGCTTTGTGTATCACAGAAGACTGCTTTACTGCTTTTTTTTTTTTTTTTTTTTTTTTTTTTTTTTTTAATGGTTTTGGAGATGGAGTCCTTCCTTACTGGATAATTAAATCAACCTTTATTTTTGAATTTTGCCCCTTGACTCCTGATATAAGCTAATGGCCTTAACTCTTCCAAGTCTTTGGTTTTAGTTAGCTCTTTTCTTTACCAGATAACATTAAAAATATCCTAGTATTCAAAATGTCCTAGGTCAACTGTCCTGTTTATAGTATAGCCTTAGACTATTTTTACAAATCTGGGTTGTAGTCTTAAAGGTAAAAATATGATGGCATTTCTTTCTGAGGGCTAAATCCATGTGTTGTGGTTTCTCCCTGACCTCTCCAGGTGGTTCTGCCAGTACTTGGATACAACGCTCAGTACCCAGAGAACAAAGTAGGGCATTGGTACCAAGGAGTCCTCAGCAGGGACGGACTGCAGTCTTGTAGGTTTAGAGTGCCTGTCCTGAAGCTGAATGTACCAGGATGCTACAGGCACATCTTGAAACATCCCCACAATGTGTCATACCAACTAGTCCATCCTGACTCTGACGATAAAGTAGAAGGTTCCCACGGCAATGACATAACCTCATCTCTGTCCATCTCCTTTGATCTCGATGCTTCATGTTATGCTACTGTTTGTCTGAGGGAAATGATGAAGGGTGATGTTTAAACCAGCACCCATGATGTAGTCGTGTGTCTGCCATTCTGAAGAAAGGGTAACTGCCATTTCTAGGGCCTCTGCCTTGAGCTTCATGATTGCTGTTGCCTTTAATTTTCACAGTATGTCAAGAGGTTGGAAACCTGATGAATTAAAGTAAATGTCAGTGTCTCAGTTTAAACTTTTTCACTAAAGTCCTGTGTTTACTCATAACAGTTGAGGAATCAAAGGCCTAAGGCAGTGGTTCTCAAGCTTTGGGTCAAGTCCCCTTTGGTAACTATCTAAAAATATTTACATTATGATTCATAACAGTAGCAAAATTATAGTTATGAAGTAGCAACGGAAATAATTTTATGGTTGGGGGTCAGCACAACAGGAGGAACTGTATTATAGGGTCGCAGCATCGGGAAGGTTGAGAGCCGCAGGTTTAAAGCTGTGTGACTAGTCTTTCCACGTCCTTCAGGGATTTTTGTCCCAGTCACCACAGTTCCAGTCTTTAGAACACTACTCTGTGCCCTGGCTGCAGTGGCTCACACTCGAGTGACATGTAGAGAGAGAGCCCCCTCTGCTCTGCTTAAAAAGGGAAAGCTAGGTGACATTGAAACCATGGTGTCAGGACAATTGAAATACCATCCTTCCCAGTTTAAGGTGGCTGGTCACAGAAACATGCAGGTTCTTACAGTAACTGACATCTGACATCATCTTGGAGGAAGACTAGAAGTTTTCATTAAACCTTTTCATACAAGTTTTGTACTCGATACCCTAACTTTTTGTTATGTCTTCTATTACCTAAAACTCAGATTTTATACTCAGAGCTACTCATGTTCCATTTCCCACACATTGGATATGGTATTGATTCTTTTGGAAATAAAGGCATTATCCATTTCCTAAGTTACCACAGAATTGTCTCTGTGTTTTATGCCACCAAGGGGAAAAAAATTGTCTGTTTGGTAATCTTAATGTTTATTGGTTTGTTTTAGTTGTCTCACACCATAAATCATCTTAATAGTGTTATATCATTTAAATTTGGATAAAGAGGGGTGATGTATTTGTCAGGAATATTTCTTGGTATCATTTCTTTGATTGTAACACATTGTGATGAAATTTCAAAAGCCTTATGGAATATTACAGACCAGCAAGAGGTCCTTTTGTATGTCTATGCTAGTCTGCCCATTTAGGGAATATTAGCATCAGGAAATAAAATTCCAAAAGGAGGAAAAATGCTGAACAGAATATAATTCTTAAATAGCATGTTCATGTGTATATATATGTATGTATGTATGTATGTATGTATGTATGTATGTATGTATTATGGAGCAAATCAGAAGTCAGCTCAAAGTCTACCTATAAATAATATAAGTAAGATGAGTGGAATCAAATTAATAGCAAACATGTAGTTTCTGAAAATGTTGGTTGAAGTCCACTAGCATTAGAAAATGTGTTACAAACATGCGTTTTACAAATTCTGGGTATACTAATAAGAAGTATATTTGCATGCTATAGCCTCCAGGAACTAACTTCCCCGGTCTGAGCCCAGCCTCTACTGCTTATTTAAGTTCTTGTGCTTCCCTCTCAGTATTCATGGAAGGGAATGTGAATACAGATAACACTCAAGGGCAAATGTGAGGGTGTCATCAGATAGCATAAGTGCAGCATGTTAGAGAAGGGCCTGGCACTCCACAATCGTTACATGTCTGCAGGTACAAATTTGGAAGAGAAGATAATGACATTCAATTAAGATGATGAGTATTAAATTAAAAATAATAATACTTATATGTGCATATAGATACACATATATGTATATACACGCATACATATTATGTATATTTGGTCATCTCAGTTACCTTTCTGTTCCTGTGATAAAAAAAAAAAAAACTGTAACAAAAGCAATTTAAATGTGAAAAGGTTATTTTGGCTCCCAGGTCCAAGGTACAGTCTATCATGGCAAGGAAACATGGCAGCAGGAGCCTTGAGGGCACTGTCACCTCACATCCATAGCTGGGAAGCAGAGAATAGTGGATACTTATCAACTTACATTCTCCTTTTTATACAGTTCACGATCCAAGCCCTGGGAATGGCTTCCCACCCCTATCACTCTAAGCAAGATAATTCCTTACATGTGTGTCTAGGGCCATTGTCTTCCAGGTGATTGCAATCTGATCAAATTGCCAATTGAGACTGCCCATCACAAATACAAAAGAAGGGGGATATTGAATTTTTTAAAACTACTTCCACAGTTTTAGTGGTTATCGAAAATAAAGATAAATTGGGAGGATAGAAATATGTTAATTTATTGACATAAATTGAATTTCATGAATTAAATATGAAAGTAAATTATGTGAACTTTAGTTTTCTTTCAATTAAGCATTAATTAGACAACATCAAAGCATTTCATACAATGTGCTGTCGTTAACATTCCTCTCTTGGCCTGTAGGTGGCACTGTAAGTCTAGATTGTTCATACAGTCGACACTTGGAGCCAGTGTAAAGCATCATTCATTACTATAAAAACGATTGGGATGCTGCTCATGTTGAAAGTCATTCCATATAACATTTAATATGATATTTGATATGATAATTGTTTGGCTTTTCATGGACTTTTTTGTGTCCTGAGAACCAACTGGTGACCAGTCTCTTAAGTTTTACAGATTTTATGGGGCAATTCAAGTTTTGCTTTAGTTTTAATTACCAAGGTGGCATTTGAGACTAATAATGTTGAAGAACAGGAAAGTGAACAGTTCTCATTTTGAGGTGGTTTACTTTGTTACCATGGCGGGGATTGAACCCAGGACCTCGCTCATGCTAGGCAAGTGCTCTAAAACTACAGTGAGAGCCTCACTATTTTCACTCTTTTTGTCAAGATAAAAATGTCTGCTCTTTATATATATATATATATATATATATATATATATATACACACACACACACACACACACACACACACACACACACACACATATATATATATATATTGTAAAAATGTAAAAAATCTCTAACTTTAAGCCCAGGTAACATTATTTTAGTGTAAATCGGCGTCTCTCCTATTAACCCATATCCCCCCCTATTGGGGCATGTGTAATAGTGTCTGCTTTGGACAGATTGTGAGGATATCTGATGTACTAATCTCTTCAAGGTAAGACAAGATACAGTATGAACTAGAACTTGACTGTGCTTCCTAGGTGTCTTGCTCAGGGTAGCCATTGCTGTTATGAAACACCATGACCAAAAGCAAGCTGGGGAGGAAAGGGTTTGTTTCACTCAGTTCCATAGAACAGTTAATCATCAAAAGCAGTCTGGGCAGGAACTCACACAGGGTAGAAACTAGAGGCAGGTGCTGATGCAGAGGCCATGGAGCAGTGCTGCTTACTGGCTTGCTCCTCATGGCCTGCTCATCCTGCTTTCTTAGAGAATGTAGGACCACCAGCCCAGGGATGGCACCACTCACAATGGAGTAGATTCCCCCACATCAATCACTAATTAATAAAATGCTCTACAGCTAGAACTTACTGAGGCATTTTCTCAGTTGAGGTTCTCTCCTCTCAGATGACTAACTTGTGTCAAGTGGACACAAAACCAGCCAGCACTAGGTTCATACTGCCTTCACTAGTATCTGTCTCCTGAGAGCAATCTTGGGGGTAATAATTTCTGTGTCCACCAATTTAGCATTGTCTGCTGCGGCTGAGTAGGCACATTGGAACGTGTATATATAGAGAAGAAATAGTATTCTTTCTGAGATCCTGAACTAAGTAGAAGATCCAAATCATTCTGGAATCTCCCATGCGATATACTGGAGTGTGTATCACAGGGATGTGTTGAAGTCATCACAGCTCATAGGAAACTGAGCTGACACCTGGGACAATTTTAAGTATCACTGGAAAAGCTTAGTGAGAATGTGTAGTCCTAAATCAGGCCTAGCTTCTCCAGTCTTTCCAGCAGTCATTCTGCTTAAAGAAGCAGCAAGCTCACACTGGCCGGCCCACCTTTTTAACAGATGCTACAGGCCCCCTGCTTAGATGCGTCATCAAGTTACAGCACCCAGAATTGAATGAGGTTTCTTCTCATATTAGACTCACTTTTGCAATTAACACATGTTCACTCAGATAGTTGTGTTCCTACATTTGTAACTGTTACCGAATTTTGCTGTAAAGAGGGAGGGCCACCTCACGGGTCCTGACAGGACAAATGAGATAGTGATTGGACAGCAGTACAGGGAGGGCAAAAATCTGAGAAATACTACTAAGCCCTGAATCCCTCGCCTTGGAGACTGGCTGGACCATGCATTAGTTTGTGACTTTAGCAATCCACTGAAGTTCTCCGTTATGACATTCTCGGGTTCCAAGTAACCTTCGTCACCTTCTCATTTTCTTCAGTCCTGGATATTTTGTACCAAATAAATCTATGAAAAGCACACAAATTCGTGATATTTTCATGTTATAAATGGAGGCATTAATACATATGACATTTCCTGACATTTTTACTAGTAAGAACTTCATAGAAAAATCTTAAAAGACACAGAACTGTGGCTGGTACCTCAGAAATTCTCAGAAAATTCCAGCTCTGGTTCTTGGAGTCAATACCACTTCACTGTGCTCTCTGCAACCCTTTACAGAAGGTTAGTTACTTTCCCCCCTTTTGTTTGTTTGTTTTGAAGACAGGATTTCTCTGTGTGGCAGCCTTGGCTGTCATGGAGCTCACTCTGTAGACCAGGCTGGCCTCGAACTCACAGAGATCTGCCTGCCTCTGCCTCCCGAGTGCTGGGATTAAAGGCATGCACCACCACCACCCAGCAGTTTAGTTACTTTTCATTGAGAGCTGATCAGATTCTGTCTTAATGCAAACTATAATTCATATTTTTATGGCCTGGGGAGATGGCTTAGTAGGTAAAGCATTTGCCACATAAGCGCTGGGCACATGAGAACCAGGCAGGCATGGTGCCCCAGCTGTAGTCCTGTCCTGTAGAGATGGGATTCCCTGTGGTGAGCTGACTACCAGCTCAATCAGCGCTTCCTGGATTCAGTGAGACTGTCTCAGGAAATTAAATGGAATGCAGTCGAAGAAGACACCCAGCACCAACCCCTGGCCTCTAAGCACCCTTGCACACATACAAGCATGAGTGTGTGTGTGTGTGTGTGTGTGTGTGTGTGTGTGTGTGTGTGTGTACCACACATACATCCCGCCCCACCCCCCAAGGGAAAGCTTTAAGTGGAAAGAAGTTTCTAAATACCAAGGTTCAGAAAATTCATTCAAGTTAGAATCAGTTAGAACTATGTAGGTTAATATCCCTCAATGTTAAGATACCAAAAGGAAAAAGGAAACCCTAACAGAGCTATTTTACATTAAGAGTGGGAACAAAGCTGGAAGAGGATTATGCCAATGTGGGAAACTAGAATGTTCCCCTTCATTCATTTCTGAAGTGTTTGAATTTTTTACAGATAGTCATGAACTTTTTTCCCCAGTTAAAAGCCATGGAGACTGCTTAAGTTTGAGAGAAGAGGGTAAGGGAAGCAGCAGATTACAACTGTCTTCAGAATAGTTCTGGGGGCCCGTGGGAGCATGGCTAGAGAGAGACATGAATTACACATCCCACCAGCACCAGCGGCAGCAGAAGTAAACATTGTGGTTTCAAGGTTGCCATGTTACAGATTTACTGTCAATTTCTACTAGGTTCCTGAGAAAAAGTGTGATGTTTTATGGCACTGGTTTAATCTTGATTTTCAAGACCTCCGCTCTAACATTTTTTGATAGGCCACGAGCAGTACTCAGTACGTGATGTAACAGTCAGCAGGCATTTGAATGGTTCCCAGGTGAGGGCGCTCTGGAGTTGCAGTAGGAAATAATAAGACATATCCCTGCTTGCAGAGATTAGCACATTGCATCCTTCTCGGTTTTGTTTGAC